TCACCCGCACAGCGATGGATGATGGGATGTTGGAAGTTGGATCATGGAAGTTGGATTATTGGATATTCCTTGGATGATGGATCTGGTGTCACCGCCTCCGCCACCATCTTCGACCGCTGATTCACATGGTCCAAGTGGAGAAGATGCGCCCAGCACCCAGGTCACCCACTTACCCAAGTCACTCACTGACTTGAGCATGGGATTTTAGCCTCGCTTTTAGGGGTCCTGCAATCCGGGGCCAGCATGCAGACGTGTATTGGCTGTTGGGGCCCATGGGGGGGACTTGGAGTTGGACATGTGGCCCTTTTTCCTCACCTCCTTTGTCGACCAAGGCTATCGCCGCCATCCTCCAAGGCTCAAAGTGCGGCTTCGTTGCACCAACACTTTTTCTACCCCATATCTCCCGCTCATCTCCTCTCCTCTCCTCCCTTCAGTGTCTCTTTCCAGCGTTGTCGCTTCTCACCGCCTTCGCACTTATCGCCTCGCACCGGCGCAGGGCTTTCCAGAAGAATTTGCATTTCTTCTCAAAGCGCATAGTCGTACTGCCTCGGCATCTTCCTTCATCCGGCTCTTGGACATCTGCAACCTTATCTCATCTTTTTTTGGATGCACGGTCGAACCAGACAAACTATGCTCGACCGATTTTAGGACAAATCTTCTGTCGACCCCTCGTGCCCAAGGACATCCGCCTTTCCTCCACCTGACCCTTCTGCTTGTTCTTCTTCATTCCCCCTTCCCCAACAACAAAGTCCGCATAGCTTGCCATTGTAGTCGACCAAAACGACAGCAAACAGAGTTCCTTGGCACTGCCATTCCTGGTTGGGAAGACCGCCTGTAGAACATCTCAAAATGGCGGGCGTTCTCACGTGGAAGAGCCGCTTCGGTGGCGTCTTTGGCAACAAGAACAAATCCGACAGTGCCGAAGCCACAGATGACGAGAATGCCAATATTCCAAGATGGAGTATGGGTGTTCTCAACGACCCCAAAACGATTGAAGTCCCTGGTATGCAACCCCCTTTTCGGTTTCCCGCGCCCATGCCAAGGCCACCAAGTTGACAACCTGCAGGTTCTGTGCTCCTCCTCGCTGCGCATCGCAACGAGCCGCTCGGCTTACGCAATGCGCCCGCAAGGACCTCTCACTCGTCTATCCCCACTGGTTTCCCGGAGCCGGTAGACACACCAACCGGCCGCCAATCTCCGGCCAACGCGGCCCCACCAGAGCCCGATGCAAAGACGACCAAGGACGGAATCATCCTCAACCCCCAGCCCGAAGAATCTGCAAATGACCCTCTCAACTGGCCTTCATGGCGACGTGATTGCGCTCTGCTGTCTCTTGGTTTCTACTGCATGGTCGGTGGTGGCATGACCCCCTTGCTTGCCGCCGGCTTCACCAACGTTGCCGAGGACTACCACATCGAGACAGAGACAGTCTCCCTGACCACTGGTCTGTACATGATGGGCATGGGCCTCGGCTCCGTCATATTTTCTCCGACGGCTATTCTATACGGAAAGAGGCCCGTCTACCTCTTTAGCTCCGTCATTTTCATCCTCAGCTCCGTGTGGGCGGCTTTGTCACCCAACTTTACCTCTCTCATCTTGGCCAGAATCTTTCAAGGTATCGCTGTCAGTCCCGTAGAGTGTCTTCCCTCGGCCACCATTGCCGAAATTTTCTTCCTTCATGAGAGAGCGTTCCGAATCGGCATATACACACTCCTGCTGCTCGGCGGCAAGAACCTTATCCCACTCATCAGTGCCCTCATCATTCAAGGTCTTGGATGGCGTTGGACTTTCTGGTAAGCCATTCGCACACACAAAATTCACATGACTCCAGTGCTAATATGTCGATAGGATTGTGGCCATGATTGTCGCCTTCTGTGGCGTGCTCCTATTTCTGTTCGTGCCGGAGACCTTCTGGGACCGAACCCCGCTCCCCAAGTCACGAAAGCCATCCCGCAGACCGAGCTTTTCTCGTCGATTTTCATCACGCCATCATGTTCCCCAGGTCCATGACGCTCATGAAGATGCCGTTGTAGCTCCCACAAGCCCTGCACCACAGTCGCCGCACGTTGCTTCGCATCCGCACAAGGACCTTCACGTTGGATTCGCACCAGGCCCAAATGAGAAGCAGGATGACGGTATCGACAAGAAGGTGAAAGACGCCAAGGACGAGACACCGGACTCTTCCCAACCAGTGCCCGTCTCTCGGACATCTGGTGCGTCCGGAACACCCACCTCCGGATCGGATTACTTCCACAACGCTCCAGCTGTGGAGAGCGAAAAGTTCAAAATGCAAGCTTCCGACGTCAACTCACCACCAAAAGCTCTAGCCTACACCCACACTCTCCGCCACCAACCCGCGAAATCCTTCACCGAGCAGCTCAAGCCTTGGAACGGCCGTCTGAACCATGACAGCTGGTTCAAGGTCATGCTCCGGCCCTTTGTCCTCTTTGCCTACCCCGCCGTACTGTGGTCTGCCGCAGTCTACTCCCTATCCGTCGGCTGGCTCATCGTTGTCTCCGAGTCGGTCGCTCTCATCTACCGCGATCGCGCGTCGTACAACTTTAACGCCCTTCAGACAGGTCTCGTCTACCTATCCCCCTTTATCGGCGGCATCCTCGGCACCGCCGTCGCAGGAAAAGTAAGCGACATCATCGTCAAGGCCATGGCACGCCGCAACGGCGGCCTCTACGAGCCAGAGTTTCGCCTTGTCATGGCGGCGCCGGTCCTCGTGACCACCGTCATCGGCCTCATGGGCTTCGGCTGGTCCGCGCAGGAGCGGGATCACTGGATTGTACCGACCGTCTTCTTCGGCCTCATCTCGTTTGGCTGCACGCTGGGGTCCACGACATCCATTACCTTTTGCGTCGACAGCTACCGGCAGTACGCGGGCGAGGCGCTCGTCACGCTCAATTTTAGCAAGAATATTTTCCACGGTCTCGTGTTTAGTCTGTTTGTCACGCACTGGCTTAGCTCGGACGGACCCAAGATGGTGTTTATCTGGTTGGGCGTTATCCAGCTCATTTTCCTGTTTGCCACGATTCCCATGTTCATTTACGGGAAGCGGGCGCGCATGTGGACTGTGAGGAAGAACTTTATGGAGAAGTTCTAATGAGAACATTACCTGGTTTATTTTCTGTCTTGCTGAAATTCCCTGCATGGAGTTGGAGTTTACGGGATCTGCATTTGCATTGCATCACAGCGTCTTACAAGTTTTATCCACCACTGGATGGGGTATCCCAACGAATGATTGGCTTTCGATGACTTTTGCATTCAAGGGGGATTTACATGTGGTCTTTTTTGTCAACATTTATCTCATGATACCTTTAGAGTTTATATGACCTAGAACAAGTCTCAGAAGAAGCCCATCAAATCTAGAAGAAGTCGATTACCCCGAGGGTTTGGCGCTTTTGAATGCTATCGAGATGTCACTTGTGGGAGGGATATGAATTCTGTTCTGGCTTGTTTCCGGTGGCTCTGCCTTTGTGGGTGTTTGAGGGCGGAGTAGAGTATGGAGTTGACTCGTAGACGCCGGCTTGTGGATGAAGACTGATGGGATATGAGGTCTTGAATGCATGTTTTTCGACCTTTTGCGTTATGCCGGGTGACAATTGAGGGGTCCGGAACCCTCTCCCCATCCCTTCAATTCAGCTACCTACCTACCTTATCAAAGGTACCTTCCTGCTGCTCATTTCGTGAATACAAGGGAAAGACTTGGTGGAAGTGGTCCAAAGTCTCCTCATAAAGTTGGACGCATGCCGCAGACCTGCAAAAAGAAAGACTCGCGATCGTTCTTGCGCCGAGGGGGAATCGAACCCCCGGCTCCCCGACGCTGCTGGATGGCAACGGAGAATTTTACCACTAAACCATCGGCGCGGCTCGCTTCATCGAGTCTCTTGTGGATGCGTGTTTGTCAGGCCAGGGCAGAATCATGTTGGGCTTTGTGGATACATTTTGGTAAGAAAGCAGAGAAGAAAAGGTGATTTTTGCATTTTCGTGAGTCGTCAGTCTCCGCCCGGCCCGCCGGACCCCACCTGGAACATGGGGTCGTCACGGACCTGTGGTGCAACCCTGTGGGGACCGCGTCGGCGTTTGTGGGTCATGTTCCACCCGGCGCGCTGTAATACTAAAACCACCTCAATTGGACTTTAATCTGACATCCTCCATCCGACGACGAAGTACCACGCTGTCATATCGACATGGACCCTTCCATTGCAAGAAACAAGCCCAGCTCAACAGCTGAATATGCAACCAATCAAACTCAAGCATTCTGAGTAGCCGCTGTATCAATACTATTAAATTATCATCCCCTCCGCGAGCCCGGCCTCATCTCGCATGCGTCGGTGGTAAGTGGGGAGAAGGAGCTTACACGATGAGGTCTGCCGCGTCGACTCAGCCGTTGTCCAGCGACTTGGGCTGAGAACAATAACACAAGGTTCCTTGCACATGCATGCATGGAGGCTCGGCGGGTACTCGAGTCATGCTTTACCTCCCGTCATGTTCCCCTCCTCAACGACCATCATTTCTGAACTTGTCACCTTCAGCCCAGTTTACCTGTCAGACACGCGCAATGGGAGAATGCACGTGTCCGGCCACGATGCAGAAGAGAGGCCTCACTCACTCGTGTCGCGTAGATCGCGCAATACCGTAGAAAACGTCACTAGCAGAAAGTAGATGTGTCGTAAATCGCTGTGTCTAGCAAAAGGCTTATCTCGTATCACATCTCACATGCATCAATTGATCTCATGGCAAGGTGACTGTTCAGGCGGCGAATATGTCCTTCATTCACATTTCCTCAAAGCCTGTCTGGTATCGCGATTCCAAGCCGTCGCATGTAGTCCACCGGGGCGTTCTCAATCCAGCACTCCTTCCCAAACCCTTCCATCGTATATCCCAAGTCGGAACCGGAAAAGAAAAACAGAAAGCCCAAGAAGACTCGCCAAGAGCAGGAGACAGTTCAACCCAAGGGTGTGTAGCGTGCCCAAAGTACATGTAGTGCTTCCTTAGAAGCCGAGGTCGTGCATGATGTCAGTCAGGCCGTTGTAGGTCTCCATAGTGGCTCTGGCCTGCATGTTGAGAAGCTGGCTGATGGTGGTCAACTCCTCAGAGAGTTCAGAGACCACAGTGTCGCCATTGTTGGCGCCCTCCTCCTCAGGGTCCTGAAGCTGGCTGGGGTTGGTGATGCCAGTTTGGCTCTCAGGAGAGGAGCCAGTGGAGAGGCCGCCCTGGGGGAGGGCATTGGCCTGCTCCACGCTCCGGAGGAACGCCTTGTCATGGTAGCGCTCGGCGAAGCGCTTGACAGACTGGCCCATGTACTGGATATTGCGGGCAGTGCTATTATTCATTGTCAGTGTGTCTTTCTTCCCCAGGGATGCGGTTTCACACGTGTAGCCGCATGAGAAGGTGAAGGCTAGGAGCGGGGGGTAGACATGATGGGAAGTGCAAATAATGGGAAATGTGAAATTTGTTGAAGGCAAAACACAGGAACGGTGGGTAGTAATGATAAGAAGTGCAAGAAATAGTAAGTACAGGACTGATTGAAGGTAAGGTAATGAGACAAAGGAGAGCACTGCTTACCGGTTCGCAACCAGGGTATTGAGAGAGTCGGACAGCATCTTGACCTTGGTATCGCGGTCACGCTCGTAGATGTAGTCGGACATGTTGGCGCGCTTGATGCAGGTGGTGCGGAAGGCACGATACTCGGAGAAGACCTTGGACTTGAGCGCCTTCTGCTCAGGAGTCTGGTTGGCCAGGTAGGTTCGAGTGCGCTGTGTGTTGGGGTTGGTCGAGTACTCGCCTCCCTTGCGACGAGCGTCACCGTTTTCACCAGCCATTGTGAATGTCAGTAGTGGATGGAGTGATTGTTGGGATTTGTTGGTGATTCTGATTGTTTGGATTCTGAGAGACAAAAATACTCTCGCAGATGGATTGTTGTGTGGGTGAAGAAGTGAGTGAGTGTGGTGGGTGGAGGGAAGAAGAAGGGGACAAAATAATCTGCTGGCTGGCGGGCGGAATAATTCTGGCGGGTCACCCAGGCAGTGTGAGAGAGGTTGACAAGGAAAGAGCAGAGAAAAGCAGTAGGAAGGAGGGATCGACTACCAAAAGAGGGAATAAAAGGGTGGGATGTGAATAGTTGCACGTGTGTTGGCGGTGAGTGAAATCCCAAGTTGTTATCTTTTGCCAGCTAGGTGACGGCCAGTCATGTGATAATAATATTCTCAAAGGAAGTCCTCAAGGAAACAAGTAGCTCCTTCCTTCCAATCTATTCTCTTAATACGGCAGGTATCTCGAAATGCCTAGACCATCTGGAGCTGCAAGATCGCGACTTGGACCCATTGATGGTCTTTTGTATGCGAACAACTAAGAATGAGGTTCACCGAGAGATCTTTCCAATCATATGCATTGATCTCAAGAAATAGTATAGCTCATTGCATTGTGTAGAGGAGGCCTTCCGTCAGACCAAATTGCAGCATTGTTTTAGTTGAGCCTTTCCGGCTCCATGAACCCATCGTTGCCGAGTGATATTTTCTGGGGAAGGTAAGACCAGCCCTTCTTTCCATTCATTTTACCAATAGTGCTCCTCTAATACTCGTAGCCAGTCTTGAGCTGCTTCTTAATTTCATCGAGCATATCAATCGGAGGTTTATCAACTTAACTTTCGATGATGTCGATAATGCCAAGCCAGGTCATGAAAGCTGATCTCCTCTCTACTGGGTCCTCATCCGGATTAGCTGGCTCAGTAGTACCATCACAGAGGGGGAAGGAAAACAACAGGGCCTTCGATGTGAAACGCACAAGCTCAATATGACGAGACTCCTAAGTATCTATCACTCTCGGGAATCATGGTCACAGCCAGTCTTCTCCATGGCTCACTGGTATCTGTAGAAAGAACAAATACGTTTATGTCGGAAGTCTAGAAATCAAAACCCAGTTCCTTCGTTCACGGGATTCGACAGTCAAATCTCCAGCGTCATCTATACACGCAGAATGCCAACCCACCGCACCTTCGTCACCCTCTACCGACCGGGCGGCGAGACTCCTTGAGACCGCATCTCTCTCGTCTTGGATCCAAAGCAGTATAAGAGGCGCAGAGGGAAGCTCCCAAAATCAAGTTCAGTCTCTATCCGAGTCGTCAATCGTCCTGAGCCTCATACGTAAGGAACAGCGAGCCAAGAGCCTCAAGCGCGGCGTTGGCTCTATGCCGTCAACGCACGAAAACGAGTACCTGCCAAGAAAGTGCTATACGTCAGCCAAAACCTTGCGGATCTGACCGATGCCTCTCCCAATTCTCCACACCAAAAGCGAAGTGTTGTCTCAAGAAAATTTAACGCCTTCCTCTCGTAGCTTGTCTATAGTGTACTGACATCTCTTCACGAAATGCAGGGGCACGCAAGATTTCTGGACTTCGCCCGATCGACATATTGCCTTCGTCTCGCAAGACTGCCTCATCTCAGCAGAATGACAGGCCAAGCAAGATGTGCTCCTTCGCGAGAGGCCTGAGTCTTCACAGACGGGACGTGATCACCACAAGAAAAAAACCAGATCACCACGATGGGTCACCCAGATAGTACGAGCCCAACGATGGCATCCCTCGTCGTTTTGTTTCCCATGATCGCGAGACACGTGGATCGACCCTTCAAGACAGCTTCTCAAGATCTGCCTCTCCATAGCCACGCTTCACAATCCCGAACCAAGCTACACGCCAGAAGAACACCCTCACTGCATCTTCACCTCCCAAGAACCCACCTCAATCCACGAACCATCTCCTCCTCCGCCTCAACAGCCCTCGCCAACCAAGGCGCCTTCAACCAAAACGTATGAGGCCACCCCCTCACAACCTCAACCTCCACCTCGACACCCGCCCCCGCCAGCGCCATCGCATAACAAACACCATCAGAGTACAGCGTATCATTACTACAAACCTGCACCCACGTCCTCGGCAGCGCAGCCAGCGTCTCCGCCCCGGCCTCAAGCGGCATGCTCTCCAGCCCGTCACGCGGCACGGCGCGCGAGAAGACGCCCAACAGGCTCGTGACGAAAGACGGCGAGGTGGGCGAGGTATAGGCGTATCGCAAGGAGGGAGGCACGAAGTCCAGAGAGCTCCCGCCGTCGCTGGTGACTGGACAGCGCAAGAGGACAGCGTGGAAGGATCCGCGGGGCACGGTTTGCGAGACGGCGGCGGCAAGCTGGCCGCCGCTGGAAGAGCCGATGATGATGAGCTTGGTTGCGGGGGATGGGTGGAGGGAGCGGATGCGGTGGAAGGCGTCGAGAGAGTCGGAAACGCAGGTTGAGGCTGGGGATGATGGCATGAGTCTGTATCCTACCGAGTACACCGTCGCGCCCTCGAAGTCTTTGGCGATGCGTCTGCATGAAAGCTCTTCGCTGTCTGCCTCGCCGACGTAGAGCCCGCCACCGTGGTAGTATACCACAATGATCTCGTCGCTGATGGGGGTGTTGTTGTCGTTGGAGAAGCGGAGGATCGGGATGGCGAATTGGTCTAGACTCGAGGGGGTGTTGAGTGGCTGCGTCGTGACGCTTGACAGGTGGTGGTATGGTGCGCCGGGGGCGAGCATGCGAGCATTGAGCTGTCTGCATTCTTCTGCGTAGACAGGCTGGCGGGCGAGGGGTGATGCGTATGTCTTCTTTGGGCCTTTGGCCTTTACTTCTTCCTCGTACGCTAGCCAGGCGGGATCAAGGGGAGGTGCCTCTTTGAGGATGAGATGGTTTAGTGAGTCCATGATGAGTGAGTGAAATGTGTGTGATCAGAAATGGACAGCAGCACTAAATCGACCAAATGGATAAGTTGGACCTTGAGGGTCAAGAGCGAAGGATACTACATGTTTTATACGCGTCGTTGGTGTTGAGATGTTTTGTGAGGTGAGGTTAGACTCGAGGCCGGATAGTGGGGAAATCGGGGCTTCCGGGTTGTTGTTGTCGCGACGAGATCCCGTTTATCCGGCCGTAGTTCCGGGGAGCCGGGCAAGTGTGAGCTCGGCCCTGAGAACTAGATCATAACATGTCAAAATCCTGATACTTACCGCGCAAATATGGAGTGACCGAATGCATAGCCTTTACTGGACGAGCCGTGCGGACGGTCATGTTGTTGAGCTTGGCGCCTCGGTGAAGGGCCACCGCTGAGGTTAGCGCCGAGGAAACGAACTCCGAACCGGAAAATTTCAACCGAGATCAGCATCCGTCAACCCAATTCTGCAGAGTTGACTGCTCAAGATGAACGAGTACATCATAAGATGGGCAGAGCGCTTGGTACAGCAGGTCGATATTAATGTCCACTGGGTTGATTCCCTCCCCTTGGACCGATCGCCTATCTACAATGCTAGAGTACACAAAGGGAATCGAAGAACGAATGCGTCTATAGCACGGAAAGATCGCCGAACTTCTCCTACAGAGGGTATCAGTATATCGAAGCATATCAAATTGGTGATTTGACCGTACCTTGTATCCCGGAACGGTCCAGCGGCCCTTGGAGACGAGCTGGGAGGTCTTCTCGTCGATTGAGGGCTCGGCGGCGGCGACGTCGTCCTGTAGTCATAATAAGCATGTGACCATCCACATCCTCCACGTATTCCGACGGTACGTACGACGGTGAGGTCCTCGAAGGGGCGAGCGGACTCGATGTTGGTCAGGGTCTTCTCGAGGTCCTTGAGCTCGAGGTCGACCTTCTGCTTAGTGGCCTCGGCGTTCTTGACAGCCTCGACCTCAAAGGCCTCGATGGCCTTAATCTGGCGGGAAACGTCGTAGGTGGCGGGCTTGAAGGCGGAGAAGCGCTTCTCGATCTCATCGATGACGGCCTGGTTCTTGAGGACGGAACGGTACTGAGCGAAGTCGACGGTCGTGGGGAGCTCCGACAGCTGCTGGACCCTGCGGCGGGCGTTCTCGTTGCGCTGCTTGAAAGCCTGGAGGGAGGCGGCGGTCTGGCCCTTGAGGCCGAGGGAGGTGGTGACCTTGGCCCAGTCGAGCTTGAGAGCTGCGCTTCGCTGTTGCAGGACAAGGAGAGAAATTAGCTCAGGTGCCCCAGCTTCAAGGGAGCGGATGCGCGGGTGCGTGACCCAATTGGCTGCATCGACGGGAATCGCATCAATCGGCGACGAGACTCGAGTGGCTCTCGATGGGATACACGTACTGCGGCCATTTTGAAAGATTTGTTGAGCGTTCGGGGGAGTGGAGAGGGAGTTGCGTCGTCGTGAGGATGATGATTGACTTTGCCGAACGGAGAGCAGAGAAAGAGCCGGGATGAACTTTGTCACGCGGATAATCACGTGATCCGACTCCGTCCGAATATCCTGGGGTCGGATGTGGTTGGTTGCGCGGGAACGAACGGTTCAGTGGTGGGGCTAAGCTCTCCCGGCTTTTGCGAATTCGGTCTGAGCCAATTCCCGCCAGATCGAGGGGTAGCTGTAAATTCAACCGGATGAGGCTGAACAGACTCTAGAGGTATTTCAAGCAAAAACTCAACCCACGATTTGGCAACCGCCAATCACACATCACACATGTTGTAGGCGCAGTTTCTAGAATGCAAGAAAGCGCCGATTATCATGACCTCTCATTGCGAAAGAGACTTTTCGGAGTCAACTCCCTGGGAATTGTACATGCCAACCCGTTCCGTCCTTTTTGTCGTGTCGAGATTTTGAGAAACTACCTTTGGCCGGGGCCGTCGCTAAATACTCAATGCCATAATAGAGTTAACGATATCGTTGTCGTTCTCCTTCAGGGCCTTGATGGCCTTCTTCCGGCTGACGTTGGCCTGGGTCATGACGAGCTCGATATCCTTGTCCTCGATGCCCTCGGCATCAACCTCCTCACCATCATCCTCCTCCTCGTCCTTCTTGGCCTCGGCGTCAGCCTCGACGGCCTTGCCGTGGCTGGAGTGGTCGTGGCCGGCGTGGTCGTGCTCACCACCAGCAGCGGCGAGCTGCTGGGCGGCGGCCTGCTGGGCAGTAGCGTTGAGGTCCTCAATCTTGGCTTCACCGAAGACGCTTGAACACACATGTCAGCTTCCATACATCGCATGGTCCATAGCGCAGCATGCTACTTACATGTAGGTATTGCTGTTGGGGGACTTGTAGACCTCGGGGCTGTTGATGACGAAAAGGATCTGGGACGTGGGTCAGCCTTGCTCAATATGGCCCCCCGCATCGCGCCGTGCCACCACCACAACCAACAACGGCCAGACCATCTAATTCCACAAAACTCACGTTCTTGGGGCGGCGGAGAGTGACGCGGGTGATGCCCTGCACTCTGGTCAGGTGCAGCTTCTCGAGAGCCTTGCGGGCCTTCTTCTCGTTGCGGGAGTGGATGACGGCGGTGGAGCCGGAGGGAAGGCCCTCGGCATCCTCGCCCTCAATCTCGGAGTCGGAGCTCTCGTCCTCGTGCTCCTCGACGGAGACCTTCTTGGTCTCGTCATCGGGAAGCTCTTCAACGCGGGGGTTGGCCATTTTGTCGACTGCTGAACCGAGGGGAAGAAAAAAATTGTTAGCTGCGGGGTGCGTTTGTTGGTGGTGGTGGTGGTGGTGGGAGCTAGGATCGCGCGCAGAGCTGATTTGGCGAGCTCAGATTTGGGTGTCTGTGGGAAGGGGAAAATGCCAACTTTTCGCACAAAAACTCGTCGGTGCAGTCGCGGGTTCGTCGATCGGGCAATGGCGGCAAAAATTCGACAGAGGGACAGCAATACTTACCAAAGACTAGAACGAGGGATGCTTAACTCGGCGTAGGGGATTGTGTTCGGTGGCTTTGTGGTTTGTAGGAAAGATCGTAGAGAAATTCTAGGGTTAGCAGCACCTACTGTGTTAAAGTGGATTAGGTAAGCACAACCGTCTGCGAGTCTGCCAACGGTCCCGACCTGACTGACCACCCCCCCAGTTCAGATCCCCCAGATGGGGCGCGGTGCACGCCGTCTTGAGCCACGACCGCCGCCTCGAGCAAATGAATGATATTCTGCTCGTCATTTTAACCAGGCTGAGGCAGAGCCTGGCCGTACATGTGCTCGCTACGAAATCTGGGCTTAACCGGATGGATTTACAACGGCGTTTCGAAAACTGACTTCTGGCCATGGCATTCACGTCAAAAACAGGTTCGTCATGAAGATTTACAGAGTCTCAAAAGGAAAACCGAAAAAAAAGTCTTTACTCCGTGTCCCCGTCACGAGCCAACCAATCTATTTTTCTGATTGTGCCATGAATTCATTTTTGTCTCTGAATTTCCGTATTTGACGCCGGTCATCATATGATTGATGATGAATGTGACATACAGCCCTTCCAGTTACGGAGCAAAAGAGATGTGCAGCAACCCAATGCTGCGGTGATGCAGACCAAACCGGATCCCATGCTGTCACGCTCTAAACCAGCCCCGTAGTCTTCAAAGTCAACCCCATAGACATCCCAATCGTGAGTCCATTACGCCGAGGCCTTGACCTTGGCCAGAGCCTTGCGCTCTTCGAAACGGCGCTGCTTCTTGAGGCGGAGAACCTTGAAGCGGTCGAAGTCGCTGAGGTTCTTTCTCCGCTCGATCTGGGTGCTGCGCTTGAACCAGTTGGTCTCCTTCCACTTCTTGTCGATCTCGGACTTCTCCCAGAACTTCTTGACGGTGCCGGTGCGGGCGCCACGGGGCAGGCCCTCGACGACGAGCGAAGAGAGGAGAGCGTTGGAGAGAGAGATGGGCTGGCGGGGGACGGCGAGCTGAGCGTCTGAGGAGGGGCCGTCGACCAGAGCCTGCAATTTGATATTCATGTTAGTCTTCCAGGTCTCCTATTTCGTCCACGGAGAGCGCGCGCTCGTGCGCCCAATTTCAAAACATTCGAATCGTATCGGGGGAAAGAGGAGGTGCTGTCGCAACGTACGCGCTTGTGGTCGATGATCTCGACGATAGTCGCAAGGCGGCCGGCGTAGGGGCCGTTGCCCTGGATGAGGACGACACGGCCGACCTCGACCAGTCGCCACTTAGAACCCTCGATGGTAGCGTCACCCATTTTGCTGGTCGGTCTGAAGTTGGATCGCGAAGTTAGAATCGGGGTTGCGGATTTCGTGGTGTTGCGTCTTGCTTGTCTTGGAGGGGCGCGTCAACTTACCAGACGTCGAAGATGTGCTGCTGGTGGTTAGTGGTGGATGGAGTTCGAAGTCACTTCGGCACACTTCTTTTTTTTTCCCTGGGAGGATGGTGCGACTTAGGGCAAGTCAGAAAGCAGCATGAGACGGATTTGCTGATTAACCGAGCCGAGTCCCCCCCTTCCCAAAAGGGCTTAGCTGCGGGCGGTCAGTGGCCACTCACCGCGCAGGCTCCACCGGCGACAGAACTTTTTCTTCCCTTTCGCATAAAGGTGCAGCTTGATGAGCTATCCATTTACTTTGTTGATCTCTTTCTTCATCAGCTTCGAGGTGTTCAGAATTTGGCACCTGTCGACGAAGCTGCCTCAAAGCAAAAGGTACGTTTGCAATCCCTAATACACACAATCTGTTTTGGAATGATGAGAAAAATTTGCGATTGATTTCTTTCGGTGGCTCTCTTTCGCCGGAGTGGCTATATCGTCTGAATATATGATATTCAATTCTTACATATTCTGACCTCCAAATCCAACAACATTTTTCTACTTTTTGGAATTCCACTTGGGATGTACGTAACTAACTCGACATCCAGGTATGAACAGCAACATGAATGGTCCCTTAGCAGTAGTCAATAGCTATTCACTTTTTACTTCCCAACCTCGAGCATTGTCCGGCTTCTTACTTTGTGACCGTGACAAGTTTCACTGCAACCAGCCAATTATTTCTGATACCAAAGCATTCACCAATCAACATATGCATTTACTTCATAATTTGGATATTCATCCCATGAACCCATGTATGCTGGTGCTACCCTACCAACGCCGGTCCGAAATCACATTTGCTCCCGCCACTCTAATTTCCCGCCTTCTGCTTCAGGCGCAACTCATCCTCCTCTTGGAGCTCCTTGTCAATCTCGGCGCCTCTGGAAGGCTTGTTGCCGTGCAGCTTAGCCTAGTCATCATTAGCACTCGTCATTTAAATGCTGGAATGGGCTCGCCGTATTGCTTACGGGGAGTGTGGCGTCCTCCTTGCCAAGACGGGTTTCGAGAGATTCTTCCTCTCCCTCCTTGTCCTTCTTTTCCTCAGCAGCGAGCCTGTTGGCAATGGAGCGCTCATCCTCTGGTTGACATTAGCGAACGCTTCAACTGACCATCGAGTGGGCGACTTACTGGAGTCCGTAGCCAAGTGGGAATGCTCCTTGCCCTCGTGAAAACGCTCGGCGTTGTTGGTCTCCTCGTCCTTGGCGTTTCTCTGATCGCCAGCCTCGTAGACGGCACTGTTGCCAACGTTGGAGTTTCCAGACATGATGAAGGTTGTTTTGCTGGTGAGGTGGAAATTTGACGGGACGATTATTGTTAGAGAGTCGGGACAGTGTGTTGTTTGATGAAGTGATTGATGTTTGGATTGAGAAGGAAGGAACACGTTCTTGTGTCCAGCAGATGAGCTTTCTATATGGACGGGAAGGAAGTTGTCTTAGCTGCACCTGCGCAACGACCCCCCTTCAGTGCATCTACGTCATGACGTCTCCAGCGCCGATTCTCAGCTAAGACGGGCAAAACTCCCTCCTACGTCATGCAATTGTCATTCTCCGCAAAAATGCCTGACGGATCTGCTCATGCCACATGGAAAATCGGCGATGCACTTGGGCGGAGGGTAGCTGGCGGCTTTGACTTTTCAGTGCATCTTCGTTGCCAATTCTCAGCCCTGTCTTTGCTGCTGAAGCTGGGTGAGCTTGAGTTCAGCTCATTGTCTGCCTCAAGCCTGGCTACCCCTGCTCTACAGTCGATAGCGAATGAGAGTCAAGACTTAAGTTCCATTTTACTTTGGTACCTTACCCAGCTGCGGATTCTTCTAGCAAACAAAAGCGTTGAAGGTGAATCTGCCTGGTGCATGTAGGTAAGTCTCACCCTGCCACTTACCCTGACAACCGACCTGTCACTCCCAGCTTCGCACTGTGATATAGCCTCGTCGTGCGCTGCACATTCTGTGTCTCTAACGGGATCAATTGCCCGGTCGCTGTGGGAAGGCAACATGACATAGTTGAGGACCCATTGGAACCGCATTCCCCATCGATCCTATTTCAAAAGGTCAAATCGATGCCCAAGAAGCTCCAGGCCCCATCCAAATGACGGGAGTGAGGGGTCCAAAGACGTGAAGCTCCATCGCTGTGCCTCTCTGGCCGCTTTGAGATGCATGGGGCCAGGGGTCAAGCGCGGCAGGCCCCGCCTGTGCGCCAATCCGGCATTGGCGTCTAAAACTAAGCCGCCCGGCTAAATGACGTAAATCTGGAAGCTCCAGAGCTCCACTGCCGACTTCATCGCATCACGCTGCACGAAGCAGAGCTCACGCAAAGACAAACAAACCACCAAACCAGCTCCCCTACGACCTGCCACAATGTTTGGATTCGTAAGCCAGCTCACCCATACCCAACACCGATCAATTGAATGCTGACACAAACTCTAGCGCAAGACCCTCGACATCGTCACCGTCTTCCACAAGGCGAGCTCCCCCGCCTCTGTGAGGGTTGTCAACCTCCTCAAGCAGGTGTCGGCCAACGCCGCCGCTGGCGCGACTGAGGACCAGGCCAGCGACCACAGTGTCCAAACGAGCCCCAAGAAGTCCCGCGCCGACTTTGAGCTCAACATCACCGAAGACCCCCCAACCGCCGACCAGGTCAAGACTATCCTGGAATACGTCGGAAAGAGCAAAATCCCATCAATCATCAAAGGTGCTTCCACTGAGCAGGATGCTCTGAAGAAGTTCCAACAGAACGCAGAAGTTTTCCAAAGACCCGTGGTATGTACTTCTTCCCAGGCCTGATGGTCCTGTTTGGACCTTTGCTTGCTTGAGAACGAACCTGGCTGACCGAGACATGCAGACTGTGGACTGGAACAACGGCAAGGCTGTCTCTGGTGAGAGCGAATCTGAGATTCTCAAGATGCTCAACGCCTTGAGCAGTGAGAAGAGCTGAAAGGAGAACGCTCTCCTTAATTTTGACCAAGCAGCTTCTTTGTCTTGTTATCCAGATACCTGTGTTCCCTTTTCCCAAGTGATACATTAGTTAAATGATGAATATACTCTTCTCTCTTCTATGTCGTCCGAAATATCGTCCAATGATTCCATTAGGCCCAGTATCAGTCAGCAGTTCTTTCCGCAGACTGGTACCAATCCGTTGCTAGCTATCAGACGAGGATCTTAGATAACTTCCGATTAGTACTAGAGTCCTATAGTCACGCAGTTGAGAAAAGGCTCACTTCACATGCAAAGATCGTTACCTCACTTTGCTAGGACTAAGAATATTCAACTAGAGTACTGATACCCCATGGAAGTGTGCTGCAGTACCCATATCATCTTCATCGGGATCAAGTGAGTAAGCAGTGTTTGTCTCTCAGGACATTATGATAAGGAACTTGTTGACTATGGAAAAGACAATGCACGGCTGAAAGAAGAGAGCTTTGGCTCTTTTGATGTCAAGTTCCTCTTGAAAGAGGTAGCAGAATTGTACATGATCTTTATCTGGTATGCCTGCTGAAATATAGCAACCAGGATTTGTGTTGCTACCTGAGTCCGGCATCCTCCACTTCACCATCTCAAAGGTGTCACCTTCGATGTCTGAATATTTCACTCATCCGGTCGACGCTGCTGCCAGCCTCATTCTACAGGCAGGTGCACCCGCTCACGGTTCCTTCCCAACACACTTCTTGGGTACCTACATCCTCCCCTCCTACCTCCATGCTCCTGGCACCCTTCACCTGCCTTGTGAATTCTTCACTTTTCCCTCCATCTTCGTCCAACAACAACATCAACAACACCCACTTCATCGCTTCTTCTTCCTTCCCACCACCAAATCAATCCCTCTTCTACTCCAAAAATCGCCATCAGAAATATCCTCATCTTCTCTACTTCCATTGCCCTTGGTCCCATTACTGCAAGCCTACCATCCCGTTGCCAAACGACGTTGGATACACGCAGCTTTGCAGTATGGCTTCCGAAAACCATGGAGGACCTGGCTCCTTCCAAGATGAGCGCTTCCCCATGAAAAACGATCACGACGGTCGCGGTACGATGGCAAAATCTATGCCTGCCAATTCCTCCTCTCATTACTACCCCAACGGCATTCCCGACGGCTACAAGATGGTTGGTACCAAGGAAGGAGAGACGCCCAGACTTTACATCGAAGACAACCTTCCGACCGCCTTCTACAACCACCCTACGAAGGAGATAAAGGCTATTTTTAGCACCAACAATGGCGAATTTCCCACTCGCGGTCTCAGCCATGTCATCTCAACACGCCGTCTTGATTTGTGGAGCGCTGAAGAGCTTCAGGAGAGAGCCAATGCCATCCGGAAGAAGCATTGGAGCCACATGAAGTCGATGCCGCAGCTGGAATACTGGGAAGATCTGTACGATTATTTCGACTGCTATGACATCTACTTCCAAGGAGCGATGAACCTGTGGAACCTCATGCTTCATCTCTACCACGAAAATCAATGTCTCGTTCGCAACCTTCACCAGGAGATTTTGGCGGAAGTCGGCCACTGGTGCGACGAATGGGCTGCAAAGAGCGGGAATAAGAAGAAGCTGCTAGACTTCCAAGACTTGCACGGCAATATTCTCAATCTCCTGAGCTCAGATGATCGCCTCGACCTCCAGGGACTGCCTCCCGTCAGCATGGATCTTGTCCTCAATGCTCTGAAGTTTCGACATGACCAGCTTCAAGGAAAGCCGTGGGCTCAGCCGGCCCCATACCCGCAAAATAGCCTCGGGTTCCAGTGGGAAGAAGGCAAACTGCATCATTGGCTTGGTGAGTCGACTCTATTCCCTGCTGAAATCGTGTCTAACCTAACCTTGTTAGCTGGCCAACCCGTTCAAGATACTCCTAGTGGACTTGCCCCAGCATCGACAACACCGAAACTGACGATCGGCAGCACCGATTCCCCGCTGTCCCAACTGAGCCCGACCGCCAGAACCTCTCCTCCGAAGCCATTGATCGTGAGCGGCACGTCCAGGCAAGATCAAGTCGACCACCTTCATCGAGATGTTGCTACTGCTGCGAGCCGCATCAATTACCCCGGAGGCATCTCAGCGGACAACCAGCAGGTCTTTTCGGCAGGTCATGGCACCGTTAGTGATGAGTCTCGTAAGGTGGCTGGTCATTTGCGCCCCAAATTTGCGCAAACAAATCAAGCCCCGATATCCAGAGGGGGAAATGCAGGTCCGGGAGGATCAACCTTCTATCCTCATACCACTAGACTCGATGGCCACCCATTCAACACACCGTTCACAACAGGGCCTCATGGCACGCCTCAGCCGTATCTTGGTCCCCTTGGACCCCCTAATGGACCCCCTCATGGACCTCTGGAACCTCCTGCTGGTCCTGCAAGTCGCCATTGCGGCCCGCCTTCGCAAATCATCCAGTCTCCCCAAAGACCCAGTGACAGCCGGTTCAACAGCGCTGGCCATGCGGCGCAAATGCCGGGCTCTGTTCCCGTGGGTGGCGTACCTCGTGCTCAATCTGTTGCTTTTCCTGTAGTGGCACCCGAGCCAGTTCCCTTCCAGAGACACAACAGTAAGCGGAACGCATCGATGAACCCCCATTTTGGTCAAGCAGCCGACCGAGGCTCGCCAATGGGCCCCTCACGATTTGAAACAGGGTTCAACTCGCGAGCAGCACCTTACTCGCATGGCCCGTATCATCATCACCAGCGCCCCCGTGGCGAGTCAAAAGGATGGGAGAAGGTCCACAATGCAGACGACTCAATTCATGGGCCTGTTTTCCGTCGCTCTCCAACCAAGGAAGATCGCACACGCGCATTATCTCGTTCTTCCGCGTCAAGACAAAACTTCACTTGCGTAAATCAGCATGAAAAGTTGGTTGATAACAAATGGGCCTACACGCCTTGCGAGTGTCCCTCTTGCGAGGCTAGAGAGCGTTCTGTCTTCGTTCAGCTCACCTCTCATCTGATCAGAGATGACCTGTCTGAGAAGGTCCAGGTTGTGATGTCCCGGTGGGGAGAGGTTGAGAAAGTTAGCAGGTTGGCTCTCAAGGACCAGAGAGAGTACCCTAACTTTTTTGTCAGGTAACTAGCAACATTCCCGTTCAGGCTTAAAGTCCTACTGACACAAGATGCTCTCATTTAGATTCAAAGACGGATCTCGCATCACTGAGATTGCATGCGCAAAAGAGATCGAGTGCGCAGAGCTTCATTGTATGCTGCAGACTCGACCTATTCATCATACTCGATATGGAAGCTTGATGTATTCCAAGGCCGGCGGGGATGCGGCGAATGAACAGCACAGAATCGCGAACCAGCACGAAGGGTCCCAGCAGCCTCCTCGGATGGGCAGCCAGATTCCATTCAACCAGGGACAGTCCATGTCTGTTCGTATGGACCCTCGGTCACACGTAACTTCCTTGGAGCAGTACATGATTCCTCGTCCACCAAAGCCTCAGGGCAAAGCAGCACCGTGTTCTCGGTCCGAAGCGGCGCCTGATTCAACGGTTTCAATGCCCACCACAGACCAAGTCGCCCTGCAGCAGCAGAAACCTGAACTGCCCGAAGACGTCAAGCCGCCAAAAGCCCAACCGACTGCGGATTTAGCTTTGCAACAGTCAAGTGAAGCCGAGTCGCAATCGAAGCCGCCGTCCGAGGTGGTAGTTCCTGATGGAGACAAGACAACCGAAGACGACAGCCCTCGGATTTCCGACCGTCCATGCAAAGCCATTGTCATCAACTTGCTCGCGACCCCTCAAAAACAGACCAAGACGTTCATCGCCACTGAAGCACATGGAGAATCTGACTCGTCTGAAAAGGCTGTTCTCACTCCAGAAAACAGCGAATCGGTAGCCTCTCCAATCAAGAAGAGCGACCCTCCTTCTATCAGTGGCAAGAAAAACAAATCCGACGCTCTTTGTGACCAAAGACCATCTGAAGAATGCACGAAGGTTGTACCTCATGTCTCGTCTGTGCTGGAAGAGGGAGTTACACCCCCTGAACCTCTTTCACAAAGTCCCACGTATGGCAAGGGGAAGTACAGGCAGGTCTTTTCTCACAGAGATACCAGCAGTGTCGAAGTCTTCGACGTGGTGCCCCACATGCCTGGAAGAAGTAGCTCTTCGTTTCTCAATCATTCGTTCCCTGACGAAGATGGGCCCAGCGATAGCCTTCGCTTGAAGTCTGGACATGCACTGGACAGCTTGATCGATGCGGGGTTAGCTCAAGGGGTCTCATTGACAATCATGACTGAAGACGCTTCAAAGAAAAAGGCCAAGAAAAATAAGAAGAAGAAGAAGAAGCCGACGTCAGCAAGTCAAGATGAGTCTCATCCCATTGGCGACACTTCGACTAAGGCCGCCGATGACGATACTCCACACACTTCGAAGGCAATGCAGACTGGCGCATCAGATACGGCCGACATCATCTCGAAGGCCAAGGATATTGCTGAGACAGAAGCATCCTCGGGGAAGTCGAGTCTGCCGGAACCGCTCAGCAAGAATTTCCGAGCCAATGCTGGCGGCTCACTTCGACTGCCGAAGAATCGCAGAAAGCACCCGACCCAGCTGAGCCTTGCAGTACGGGAAGGGTCTGCTTCCGGAGCAGCCAACGTCTTGAAGGAAGCCCATGTCTTTGACGGCGGTCTTCCATCTGCTGCGAGTACTTCACAGATGAGCTTCAGCACAGCTCAGGAGAGTCGTTCCGGCAACAGCTCGCCCAAGGTCTTATCGACCCCGGCAACTCCATCGTCAGCTAGAACGCCTGAATCGAGGGTTTCCCCGGAAATGTCCGCGGTCGAGAGCGAGGCGACGTCAAATTCAACCATGCAACTCAACCCTAAGGCAAAGGAGTTTGTGTCACCTGCACCGCGCCCTGTTGTTCATATAGTGAAGCTGGCGCCAATCCCATTGGTACCGATCCCAGTGAAGAACCCTCAGCATCAACGCAACTTCTCCCACAGTTCGTCGGCCACATCTCACACTCTCACTCCTGGGCCAACGCCTCCTAAAGACAAGTTTAAAGGATGTCAGGAAGTTGCTATTGGAGACGGCGTCGACAAAGGACAGGTTTCTACAACTCGTGAAGCGCCCACCCATGATGAAGGCGCACAAAAGCCAGCCTCCGAAAATATGGGGAAGATGAAGAAGGACCATCCCGCCGACGGCCATACCTTCTTCTCACAAACGTCGAATGCAAGCAGTGGCAACGGTCACAAACAGCGTCCAAAGAAGGGCGCTAGCAAGAAAAAGCAGCAACACGGCAAGCAAGAACCCGAGAAGAGCAATACCTCGCCTAAGAAGCAGGATATTCGAGGACAAACTCACGGCCAGCGTCTGCAAAATGCCTCTGGAACGCACAGCAGAAAGCTATCTGTTGCCAGTAGAGATGACTTCCCGTCCCTGCCACCTGCCCCCTTGCCCGCTTCAGGCCTACCTGCGAGCAGCGTCTGGGGCAAAGCGCGTGCAACATCAACTGCCGTTACAAACAGCAACATCCCTTCTACCGGCAACATTAGCCGGGAGGACAAGACCAAGGACAAGACATCCTCCGACCCGCTCCCTGGAGAGGACAGCGGCAAGCACTAGAGAAGGATGTTCAATTTTTGGAGGGAGGTGATTTGGGCGCGATACGAAGGAATACGGAAGACGGAAGAAGATGTGATAGACAGCACAGGGTCGACGAAAAGCTTTTCTGTAAATTGGAGGGCCTATTGGGAAGGTGACCCGGAAGCAGTTGATGGGGAGGATCTAGATTAGTTCCTTGAGAAGGATTTGTGTTTGAGTGATACCCATGGCTTGTGCTTGTGGCTTGATAGTTGCGCAGAAATAGAATGAACCTTGCTCGGAAGATTCCCTCCTTGATCGTGGGTTGCTTGAATACTCGGTTGGACGTTGGCCGTGTCGCAGTTGATCTGGAGTGAAGTCGTTGTCGCCCAGAGCCTCGTCTGGTTGTAGGGATAGTACTCCGGAAACACAAATCACCCCAAAATTGTGACTACGGCGTCTAGTTCACTCATAGGCAGCTCGCTGATTCCAGTTTCAATACAATTCTGGGCTCGGCATTCCCAACATAGTGATGATACAGTGCTCTTGTTTTGGTCTATTCATTCAAATTGCTCCCGCCCGGGTTTATACCTTTATGCGCCGTTCTTGACCAGGGTCGTGACTGTGTCTTCAATCTGCTTGTCCGAAAGGCCTTGCATGGAGCGTGTTAGCTACTGAGCGTTCTTGAAGGAAGCTTTGGGAGGGGAGATGGTCTCACCTTCCAGTGATTGGCTCTTCTCCACGCCGAATTCTATTTTTTTAGGAAGAGCATTTCGTCAGCACTCTGCTGTCTTTTTGTATCATTGGGAAGAGGTTCTAACCGTATCTCGCGTAGATCTTGGGTAGCGTGCCGGCGGCCTCGCGGATGAGGATGGGAGTCTGGGGGTTGTTCTTCTTCATCGTGGGGTAGGCTCTTTCGACGAAGTTGCTATTGCGAGGGGTGGTTAGCGACTTGGAGGTCTCTAGTGGTGCGGCAGCGAAGGCAAGTGGCGGATAGTGGTGATGCGGGCGGCGGTGTCGTCGTCGGGCTGTTTGTGTGCTGAGCGTCATTGGGGAAGTGGAGGAAAACGTACCGGGTCGCGGCGCTGTGCTCGCCCGTCTGGCAGAAGAGGAAGCGCACCTCCTTGAGGGCCTTTGTGAATGCGTATTTGCTCGACATTATGGTTGGGGCTGCGCGGAGGAGGTGCGGACGGGCGGCGGTAGGGTCAATTAACGGGATTCGGATCGATTGGAGGAGCCTCTTTGCTGGTGGACTGGCGAGGATTGAAGTTGGCGAGATGCTCTCGCGGTTCGAGGTGGGTCTGGGAATTTGCATAAGACTGTCGGGAACTCGGGATGGGCATAAATGGTCTAATTGGGTATTTTTGATTGGTGGCAGACTTGGAGCTATGGATTTATGAACATGCACATTTCAGGGACCGTTTTTTTGAGGTACGAAGGAACAGATAAGTATTATGTAAGGTGCCAAGGTGTTACGGTGCTAACGGAATGGAAGGTAAGTTCGGCCTGGTCAGTGCTTCCCCCGTCTACTTTTTTTCCCCCTTCGACGGGTTGTCCCCGCTTAACTCCGGTTAGCGGTTGCTGTTTGCTCGCTCACGCTGAGAGCTGCCGTGCGCCTACCTCCCAGTGCACCGTCTGCGCTCGCGCTCCCGGCCCAAAAAAAGCTGCCCGCTCATCGTCGGACGTCCCAAATCTCAACGCATCTGCGTCTCTCAACCTCGCCTCAACCTCTGCCCTCCATCCCTCCCGTGCGTTCGTCGAAAGGAAAACCCCTCTCCGCTCCAAACAACCCTCACCCTCGCGTAAATTGAGATCACTTCTCAATCGATCCTCCGAACCCGAGACTCCGACGACATATACACACGAAAAGAAAAGCCATAGCTTTCAAAAGTCCGTCACGATGGCCCCCACCAACAACTTCTTCAAGGCCGCGCGCCCTGCGTTCCGCCAGCAGGTCTTCGCCGGCGCCCAGATTCGCAACGCTTTCCGTACCTCCCAATTCCGCGCCCAGTTCCGTGAGAGCTCCAAAAGATGGCAGAGCTCGACCGCGTCCGCCGATGCCCAGGTCAGCTGGTTCAAGCGCATGTGGGACAGCCCCATCGGTATCAAGACGGTGCACTTCTGGTGAGTAGACTGTCCCTCAGATGCGATGGAAGAACACTTCGGATGGGATTCTTTAGACATATCCACTGACTCCGATGGTTACAGGGCTCCTGTTATGAAGGTATGAAGTCTTGCTCGCTGAAGCTACCTCCGAATATCTCCCTTGCAGATGTCCGGTCGCGATGTCGGAGGTCAATATAGACCGGAGGAAGAAATACCCGGAAGGATTAGGAATATGACATGGAACGAATACTGACTGTCGACATAACACACAGTGGGCTCTTGTCCTTGCCGGTGTTGCCGACTTTGCCCGTCCCGCCGAGAAGCTGTCTCTCACCCAGAACGGTGCCCTGACGGCCACTGGTATCATCTGGACCCGCTGGTGCTTGATCATCAAGCCCAAGAACTACCTGTACGTCATTAAGGATCCTACAAAGGGGAAACTGTCAACTAACCTTTCCAGTCTTGCTGCCGTCAACTTCTTCCTCGGTGTTGTCGGTGTCGTCCAGTGCTCCCGTATCCTCATGTGGCAGCAATCTCAGAAGAGCGTTGGCGACCTGGCCAAGGATGTCAAGGAGGACGTTAAGGAGGCCGTGTCTTCCTAGACCTAGAATCGCAAATGCCGAGCAAAGTGGGGTACAATAAGGTGTCCATGGGAGGGACGAGGTAAAGTTGCAGCATGGTTCCAAACTGACGTACCAGCTGCGGCCACGATCCAGAGACAGTCGCGGAGGCAAGAGGAGACGGCGCAGAGCGCATCGGACTACCCACCCTGTCATGTCATGTCATGCATCAGACACGTCACGCTTCTCAGATCTGGTTTCTAGACACTTCCTTTTTCTAATTCGATATACAAGAAGGCCAATGTTTCACGGCCCAAGAGACTGTAAGGAGAAAGAAGCGAACCACGTTCTTGACCCGAATCATGCGTTATAGTCCTTGTACTGTATGTGCTTCATTTGAAGAGTTTATCCGTACGGAAACGCCCAACGGGTCCCCGCGGTAGCATTTCGCTTTCCCCCGCGGAGTAACGTGACTAGGAGATGGCTCAATAGTCAGCTTAACCAGCGTACCGCCAGTATGGATACTCGACGGGAATCCCGAGACATCTGCGCCATTGTGTCATTCGAGCTTTGTGCGACATATCCGCCTAGAACCCCCCACGCAAGATCCCTCAACCAAGAGTTGAGGCCTTGATCGAACCCTGATTTCGAGCAAGGAGATTCGGCCCGGCCTCTTTCTGCGGAATATCACTTTATTAATAAGCAGTTCGAACCCATGCAATACAACTTGGCCGATGCGAGAACTTGGTGACCGGGCCATGTATGGAGCGGGAGCCCCCCCTGCATAGGTACCAAGTTCCAACGCCGACGACATCTTCTCCAGATCGTTTTGTTTGAAGTGGCGAGCTGCTCAGGCAGCAAAAACTGACCCCGCCCACGACGATATCAATAGGACGTTGGACTCCCAGATGGGCTACATGCCTGAAAGGGTCAGCTGCATATGCGGGCATATGGGAATCCGTTCAGAGGTCCTATCAACGGGCCTGATTTGAGGGGACTTTTACTAGGCTCCCCGAATCGGCGTGGCCGCCGAAGACCAGTGAGCTCGGCCGACCTGCCCTAATGTCATGAAACCCCTGGCTTTACATCGCTTATGTCGAAATGCCTCTTCACCTTTGGTTTCTTTTACTCTCTCTGTCTCTGTCACACATACACACACCGCTGCGACCGCCTGAGACTAATACATACCATGGGGCTATGAGGGCAAGATGGGAATTGTGAATGCGGAACTTGGCCGATACGAGCAGCTAAGATACGCCAGGTGACGCATCAGTCCCAGACGAAAGGTACCCCAGGGGCCTTTCACCGTACTTCATAGGCAGCTGGGAACGTTTTCTTTTTCCAACTGACTTTCAGCTTGCATACCCGTACTCCGTACCCATAATCCACATCTGGGATCACTCAGGTCAGGGTCTGTGTTCGACAATGAATGGAACCAGCTCACGTGGTGGTTGGAATAGGGTTGCCCACACCATGCTGGCAACATTACCGGGTCGTTTGGCGTATGATACAGCTGTTAAGCGCTTGAATCATTGGCCCGCAACGACATGTCTAGTCCCGAACCCCCCTCAGTCCCCTTCAAGTTTGTCACAGAAACTACTGCGTCGGAGCCAGCTTTTCGGCCTTCGAAGCCGATGATATGCATTCTCTCGGGTGTGATGTCATGGACTCCCTTCCGGGAGGTTGGCTTCGTCCCTGAACACCTGGCGGTCCCCTCTCCGTTAAGGAACCTAGCGAGGCTGAAAAGGAAAGGAAGGAGGGGGAGGGGCCTTTGTTGGATGGCACCAAAGCCAAACCAGGAGACGAGTCGTTGGAAGCTGAGTGTCTGCAACAATGGCATGATTTACGACTCGGTGTCCCGCAGAGATCTACGTGTGCCGCCAGTCGGGCAGGATATGATTCTTGGAACCCGATTCAGTTACCGCATCGCAATTTTTCTTGTCTCCTGCGTGTGTTTTCCGAGGTAACGTTCATGGTGCCGGTTCGACGACTGTGGAAACCCCCCCGGAACCGGGAAAGTGAACCGTTGTGTCGGGACACCCTCCAACATTGATCCGGGTTATGTATAACAACCCGCTGTTGCGTCGTTTATGTGCTCGTCAACAAGTTTGATGTACTCGATATAGCGACGCAGACATGGTGAATAGCAATAACAACGATGGCATCACTGGTTTGGGAGAGGTGGTCTCCAGAGCCGAGAAGACTGCTCATAAACTAGTCGACTTGGCTCACACTACGAAGACGATCCAGTTACAGACGCGAAGACAGATGAACCAGCTCCAATCCGAACTACACCGCACAACCGCGCTACACAGACTCATCTATAACGACCAAATCTGCCAACTCGAGACATCCTCAACCACGTTTCGCCGCCTCGCCCCGGCGGACCTGAATATTTGCAGATATTCCTTCAGACGAGCCAACGAGACCCTCCGCGTCTTTGAACAGAGCCCGGCGGCGGTAGCGGCGGCGGAAGAGACATCTCTCGCTAGCCCACAATACCCGAAACTCCTCCTCGAAACCCACAGGCAGCTGAAAGCCCTCAACGACGAGATCCGCGCCGACGTCGTTCTTGCCATCAAGCGCGTGCTCAACCAGGACCTCTTCAGCCGGGACACGCGCGCCGTCCAGCTGCGCGATATCGCCGTGGGGCGGGATCCGAGTCTCGAGCACGATATCTGGCAGATTCGGATCCAGAGGGGGGATGCTCCTTTGATTGCGAGTTTGCTCCTCGCGAACGACGATACATGTGGTAACCCTGACGTTGACGGAGCCGCCGACGGCGGCGCATCGGATTCGGCCTCGTGCCTGCGGTTCCGCGACGCGAACACCATTGTCGAGACGAGGGCTATGCCGCAGAATGACCCCAATATGTGCCGAAAAACGCTCAAGCTCGCTACGTTCTTACATGCCGTCCGGTCGCCGTACCTCCTCCGCTGCACGGGCTTCCGGATCTTTGACCAGAATCAGGACAGGAAGCGGAAGCAGCGTCTGGAATACCTCTACGACGCTTCCCCGCTGCAAGGCTGTCGCCGCGCCGAGATCCACAGATTGTCGGAGCACCTCGGCTCGCCGACGGGCCATTTCACGCGCGGGCGGCGGGAGGCGGCGGCGAGGATCCTGTCGGATAAGATCCGGTTTGCGGGACAGCTTGCGAGGGCGGTGAGCGAGCTTCATGCTGTTGATCGGGTGCATGGCGCCGTGCGTGCTGAGAATGTGTGGTTTGGGGTGCGAGGCGGGGAGTATGAGGCCAAGGTGTCGGTGCCGCTGCTTGTTGGGGCTGGGTTTGAGGAGGGGGAGTTGAGGCGGTGCCGGGTTGTTGGCGGTGATGATGATCGCGGTGATGGGGGAGAGGCGCTGGAGGAGGGCAAGATGAGGGATATACTTGCGTTGGGGGTGTTGTTGTTGGAGCTCGGGCTGGGGCGGTCCGTTGCCGAGGCTACGTTTGCGTCTGCGTCTGCTTCCACGTCTACGGCCTCGTCTTTGGGCGGTGCTGGTTCTGGTGTTGGCGTCGGTGCTGTTGCCGCGGCGGAGCATCTTGGGACGTTGAACGCGGTTATGGGAGGGAGGTATACGGCTGCCGTCAGGGCGGCGTTGGATCCGCGGCAGTTGGCTATGATGTTTTCGGCCATGGAGGGTGAAGGAGAAGGAAGAGGCGGCGGTGAGAGCGAGGATGAAGACGAGAGTGTTTTTGATGCGAGAGGTAGTTGTGGGTTGGATCGGGCTTTTAGGGGAGTGGTTGTCGATGAGTTGTTGGGTGTTGTTGGGAGAGCGTGAGGAAGGAGGATGTGATTCTCGGCATGCTTTGGATGGTGGGGGCTATTTGGGCTGGGATGGACTGGGGTGATTACATTGTCCCTAGCTTCCTGAACGCGCAAGTCAAATGCGTTGCACTTCGTGCCAGCGGAAAGGCCATTATCCTTTTTTGCATGTGTTTCGACAAGTGGTATCTTATATGGTCAAGTCCTCATTCGGATCATAATCTTGAGCAGAACCTGAAAACCTATCACGGTCAATCAGCGAGCAACCAGGGGACAACGGAACGAGTCTAGACGCATGTTATACTTCGATTCAATTATCTACTCATACTCTTTCTATGCCTCTGCGTTTTGAGTACGTCCACCCTCAATCCTCTCGCCATGACCGGCTTTCCCCCAAAATCTGCAAAGCTTTTCCGAACAATGACACTCTCTGGGTCTTCTTCCGAGGAGAAGCCCGAGTATCTGCCACTACGCAGTCATGTTTAGCGTCCTCGCCTTCCTTGCTTGGTCCGCCAGCGGCAGAAAAAGCCTCTCCTAATGGAAACCGCTGAGCAAATATTCTTGAGAATTTCTCAACTTTTCCGCCCTTGGTGCCGCAGACCGCCATAACTCTTTTGCGGACGTGCCTTAGCTCCCTGAGCTGGCTCCTCCTAGGAGCCCATCTCAGGAGCCGGTGGATCTTTGCATTTTGCATCCAGATGACTCGGAATAGGCCATCCCCATTCCCGAAAGAGTTCTCTGATTCTTCTAGAATGCATGACGTGTGCTTTGTGCTCGGCGTCTGCTTCGGCCTGGCGCTTCTCCTGGGGAGTTGGATGAATAACGCAATCCTGGATGATGAGGTCATACCTTCCCCGTGCGATGAGGGATGGTTTCTCCATCTCGTACCTCTCTTGATCGACGTTCCACACTTCCTGCATCTTTTCTTCGAGCATCTTCACAGTCGAGTAGGTCCGCTGCTGCTCGGGCTCCCCAAACTCGCTCTTGACCCAGACTTCGAACTTGTCCGACTCTCTCTCCATCCAGTCGACGGGACACCAACCTTCGAAGTCCTGCAGCCAGCTGACATGATTGTAGATGATCAGAGGGTGCGGAGGCCTCGGAAGTCGCTGCATTGGGCTCTTGTCTAGGACGTATCTGCTGGGAATGGGCGGGGCGTCTGGGTACACTTCGTCGAGCCGTCCGTGCGTGCCTTGACGGCTCTGAGACCATATGACACAGCGACTGTAGTCAAGAAGAACGGGGCGGACGTTTTCTAGGGCCAGCTGGCTATCGTTGTCGAAGGTGAGGAACATATTGCGTGGTATAAAACCGTCGAAACTTGTGAGGTCAGCGCCGACGTGCTTGAAGCAAACGCCGCCATGAACGATCTGCTTGAAAATATTCAGTCGGGATGGCAAATTCTTCAACTGGAGTCCTCCTCCCTGATCACTCGCAGAATCGGGGAAGGGAAGCATTGCCTGGTCGGGGATCAGGGCTCCACTCTCGTGTCTTTTGCATATCTTCTCAAGCGATTGACCTTGAATGTGCTCGATTAGCACAGCGCCAGCACATCTCCATCGACGTGTCTGAATTCACGGGGAACTATCAGATCCAGTTGATTCGATGACGGGAAACGTGATTGCCCTGCTGCCGTAGTACTGTGGTACCATATGAGGATTGCCTGTCATGCCTTGGTTGTAGAAATACTCGTAAGCATTAGCCTCCCGGCTCAGGAGCTGACTGGGAAGGTCGCTTGGTGCGTGCTCGCGCAGAAAGATTCCCAGTTGCTGAGGGAAGAATGCTGAGTCGAACACTTTGAGCACAACCCTTAGTCCGCGAGTGGGAGGATGGTGAGTATCATGCCTGATAGATGGCACCTTGTGATCTTGCATAAAAGGACCAGGGCACGGCCCTCGATACCACCCTTCAAGCATTCGATGATCTCGACTTGCGCTTCGTGATCCGGCTGGTCGATCGTTGGGTTGAAATTTGGGAGGCGCCACTCGTTGGACTCGGGGCGGATTCCTGGTCCGTACTCTGGAAGGCCGTATGATATACCTGGCTCTCGAGGGCAGAGCGTCACTGTTGTTCTGGGCTTGTAACGTTCAAACCCTTCCTGAAGGTTGCGGAGTTGCTCGTCACCGAGGTCGTTTCTCGGTATCCAGGGCCAAGACATGCTGGAGATTGGTAGAGCATGGCAGGGAAGAAGGGCGAGTGACAGTTTCTTGAGATGCAATGGGAAGTGGTAAGACGAGAAAAGAATTCGCCAGTAAAAGCGTTTGACGGAAGAAGGACGAGAGGAAACGTAGGTAGGAAGTAAGGTGCAAAGAAAAACAGGTCAGTTTGGCACCAGCTCCCTTAAGTAAGGTGAAGTAGGTAGGTAGGCACCTTGAGGTAAGTTTTGAGAACCTATTACGAGGTAAGGCAATGGAGATAGGTAGCTTCGTGACCGTGGTGAGCTGTGAAACTTCACTCCCTCCGAGGCGGCCGCAAGGCGCATGCGTTTGCTGGACAATTTTCTTGCAGGTTGCCCGCTGTGGTCCTCCTTCGAGCAATAAAATGCTTGACCTTTTGACAACCGATCGGGTACCCGGACGTGTTAGGTGGGTGTACAATGATTTTGCCGCTCTAGATCTACTTCTACTGTTGCTATTACTGCTTTCAATAAAAGTAGCAGTGTATGTCGGAGCCGGTGTTGAAACGAACTAACTATTACAGAGACTCTACCTAGACCGAATCAGACCAGCATAGACAGATCCATAGAATGGAATCAATCGGGATCTCAGAAGACTGCTCAAAGTTGGTGGCATTTTCCATGTTCATTGGTTGTCTGCCACCAAGCTCCATCCATGTCCCAAGGCGACCGCGGCCGTTAGGCTGTCACGTCAGAAAATGACATTCTCAACTCCTTAGGTCATCCGTTGAAGGAGGTGCTTGATAATCATCGTATATCATGAAATTCTACAATCATAACTCATAAAAATCCCATCTAGATCGTACACTCTTTACGAACAACACCCTACCGCCTCTCCTTATGCTCCCCAAACGCCATCTCCTCATCCCCGCTCCCCTTGTTCATCTTCTCCACAACGCCCCTCCTCCTCAACATATCCTCTTCCTCCCCACCGGGCACGCCACCCCGACTATTCCGCTTCATAATAGCCTCCTCTTCCTGCGCGACGTACTTCATCGGCCTCTTAGAGCTCGTGGCGTCCTTGTCGCGGAAGACGAACACATCGTGGTTGTCTGCGAAGAAGCGGTCCACGTCCTCGAGGGAGCGGTCTGCTGTTTCGGGGTAGAAGAGGTAGACGATGGGGATGAAGGAGAAGTTGAACACTGTCCAGATGATGTAGAATTGCCAGCCGAGGGCGGAGATTCCCGGGGGTGTGATTTCGACAACCTGTTGGGGAGGGGTGGTTAGGATGTTTTGAGTTTGCAACAGATGGGAGAAGGACGTACCATGAAGTTGACGATCCAGTTTGTAGCGGTACCGAGGGCGGCACCCTTTGTGCGCATGGACAAGCTGTTGATCTCGGTGGGGTACAGCCAAGGAACACCTGTTGAAGATTAGCAAAACGTCAACCCAAAGACCTGGGAAAGGACCTAACGTACCCTGCCAGCAAATGCCAAAAAAGACATAGTACAAGAAGAAGAAGGCGATGGAGGCCTTGGCCCACTGAGACTGCGTCTCTGGTGCGAGGCCGGCCATTTCATTGTACCTGATGCAAATGGTAATAACGGCGTAGCACATGAATTGGCCAAAGGCGCCGTCTGTTTTCCACTGTCAGCTTTCCTGCGCGTATTCATCGTGCTTGGATTTGACGTTTCCACAACTTACACATCATCATTTTTCGCCTTCCCCACCTCTCCACGTTGGGAATTCCAATCAAGCTGAACAAGAAGTAACTGACAGAGTTACAAGCCGCCAAAAGCCTTGCAAGTTTATTGTCCAAACCGACGGAATTGATGAGAACGAGGGGCAGGTAATACGATGTCACGTTTATTCCACTGAATTGTTGCATGGCCTGGGTTCCACACCCAAGGAATATACGCCGGATGGTGGACGTTCCCGCTGACTCGCCAGTCCGGCCTCGGAGGAGGTCTGACCAGGGGACGGTGTTTTCTCTTTCGTAGTTGATGGCCCACTGAATGTCCTTGGACTGGGTCTGGATGTAGGCGTCGTCAACGGGCATGTCTTCCAGGTCGGCGAGAATTTGTTCGGCTTCGGGGACGCGACCTTGGGCCATGAGCCAGCTGGGCGGATTGTTAGCCACGAATATGTTGTGGGGTGATGAGGACGGGGACGTGGACGTACCGAGGTGACTCGGGCAACCAGGGGACGGTGCCGTAGAGAATGAAGATGAAGATGAACTGAAAGGCGAGGGGGACGCGCCATGAGATGGAACCGGTGAGGTACGAGAAGCCAAATGTGACCCAGTTGCCTGCGCGTTATTAGCATTCGGAGCTCAAGAGTAGGGCACGGGAGGTACCCAATCGGGCAAGGAGAGGAAGAGGAAGACATACTCAGCGAGAACCCAAAGATGTTCATAATCATCTCAATAACAATCAACTTGCCCCTCCAGCTCGCCTTGCTCGTCTCACCCTGCCATACGGGCGCAGTACTGGTATTGATACCATTCCCGATACCCGCCACGACGCGGCCGACAAACATTTGCGGGAGGCCAAAGGCGGCAGTCTGCAAAATGGCGCCGACAGACATGATGGTGGTGCCGACGAGGATGGTGTTCTTCCGGCCGAGGCGCTCGCCGATCCAGATGGTGGAGATTGCACCGAGGAAGCAGCCAATGTCGTAGATTGCGGTGACGGTGGATTGGAGCTTGTCGTTGCCAACGATGCCCATTGTTTGGAGGAAGTCGTCTGTTACGATGACGCCTCCGAAGACGCCTTGGTCATAACTGGTGGGTTGTTAGATTTCCATTTTGTAGGCGGGGAAGGATGGGGTGTGGGGTGGATGAGGGCTTTGAGTGATGGAATTTGAGGGTAAACAAATTGGTAAGTGGTGAAGGGTGAGAAGGAAGGAGCAGATGTACCCGAATAGCGTCATATCTGTCGCGCAGGCGATGGTCACCCAGAAGGTGAGCCATCCGCCCTTCAAGCCAAACCAACCCATGGTGAAAGGCTGAGTTTGCGGGATCGATAAAGTCGTGTGTTGTCGTCAATTGGTGAAAGTGGTTGTAGTGTGTGAGAGAAGAGGTGTAGAGCAAACGGCGAGTGAGTGCGGACCGAGCGTCGAGGAATTAGTGCTGGAATCCGTGCTGTGTATTCCCAATCCCGATGAATACCATCAAAAAAAGACCCTGGACTAGACTAGACCAAAAGACGTTTGTCTTGGACTCTTGCTACTTTAGACAGCGGCCTCAGACGCAGTCTATATAGAAAGTCAAGAAAAAGGAAAAAAGGGAACTACAAACGTCCATCTTCTCCCACTAGCGGCATCATCTCTCCCGTGATGGGGCCCCCGTCAATTAGTCCCGAACCAGCATGGGGCCAGGGCACGCCAGCCAACCCCAGACAAGCCCTGCGAACAACAAAGGCGTCGCCGCTAAATCTGTCGCGGCTACCTGTTCAGAGGTATCTACGCCAGTCTGTGGGGTAAAGGGTGATGGATGTGGTGGGTGGTGGGAAGGCAACTGACTAGCGTGGATAACAAAACGATGTCATCGTCATGGTGCGGCGGCGTTAGTGACCTGCGTCCCAGGAACCTCAACGTCTTGGTCTACTACAGCTGCCAAGGAAAATGTGCAGCTCAGCAGCAGCAACAACGCAGGAAACCAAGGTCAAGACCCATGGTTGGTCCCAGGGAGCGATGACCGCTCGCTGGTATCGACGCTGATTAGGCCGGGCCGACTCGCAAGGATGGGAAAGTATGGCGGGGGAATCAGTCAGCTCCAATGCATCAAAGATTTCGAGGTCAGTGGTCCACTGGTCGCAGGTGGGAACAAGGATATTGAGAGTTTCGGGGTTGAGCCCGGCCGACCGTGCGGGAGTGACATCTATCTCTCTCTCTCTGTGTGTGTGTCTGTTTGTCTTGCGTCTACCCTCACTGGCTGGATGGATGACATGATTGTTCGGCCAAACCGTGCAGACCACGACTCGAACTGAGTCAAGCCAAAGCACGGCAGCATGGCAGCATGGTAGCAGCAGGGGAGAAGATGGAAAAGAATGGGGATTAAATCTGCACCCCGCATACTTGATCACCGCTACGTACCCGCGTTCCTTCCTTCACAGTAGTCGAGAGTACAGAGTGGTTGCTGCCGTTGACGTTGACGTTTGACGTTGGTGAAGAGGGCGGCGATGACGTCGTTGGGGAGGTACTCCACCCGCGGCTCTGAAACGGGCGAGGCGTGCTGGGGCCATCGCTGTAGTCGAAGCTTAATTCCGTCGATCCGTGGCGTCCTCGGCTCGGCGGGCAGTCAGTACGTACCTGTCTTAGTCAAGCACCTCAACCATCTTTCCCAGCTCAGGTTCTTGACAAGACAAAGACAGGACAGTAGGGAACCAAGAACGAAGTTCGTTTCTATCAGTTGGGTTGCGTCGTTGTGTTGAACAACGAGAACGCGGAACAAACTTGGTTGAATTCTCCGATTCATCCACGTCCCCCGTCCCCGCCATCGTCACCTCCCACAATGAGGCGGGAAAAAAATCCACAAAAGCGACGACTCACTGCATCTCGCACCCCGAATCTTGCATTGCTCAAACCCCATCGACAAGCTCGTCTCTGAGTGGCTGATGGGGGCCGATCGGACCGAATAGCAGAGCCCACAGCAGACGATGCATCGTCACAATGTCACGACGCGGGGACTCCACGTTCGCCGCCTTGTTCCCCCTTGTCTCCATTTCCATCTACAGATGCCTCCTTTTCTCCTGTCAGTCTGATGTAATTTCTTCCTCATTGGAAAGGGCCCCAGTGTCTCTGTAACGATATATTATCCCATACACACAAACATGCCCTTAACCCAACAGCTTGATATCAGTGGTAACCTCCACATAAAGTAGCTGTCAACTCGGCATGATGAAAAGAGGCTCTGCGGAGAAGGGAATATGGCTGCTTCCGCGGCCGTTGACTCGGAGAGTCTCCGGCCCCTCGGACGTTGAAGTCGTAACCCGTCCCTCCCTTGGCCCCCCACACGCCACGCCAAGTCCTGGCGCGCTTGCGGCTGCGGCCTTCATCAATTCGATTCGATTGAGCCGCCGAGCGTAAGGCCGAGCAATGCAGGAGAAATGTTGGCTCGTTTCATTCAAAATGTGTTGTCGCCTACTACTGAGCTAGCTGACTGCTCCAAATTCGATTCCGCGATTAACAGACAGAGGATGGATTTATCCTCGTCTTCGAAACTGCCGACTTTGTCTCAATAAAGCCATCGTTCAAACACCCAACCCATTACAATTACTTCTGGTCTCCTTCACACTCTTGCAACGCGCATCAGCATACGGGACCCCACCCTCACATTGACAAAAACTCCTCCACGCACTCCGCCGGCCCGATAAACCCAACATATCCATCCGGCCTCACAACCACCATCCCCGCCCCCTTTTCGAACCCGTACCGCTTGTGCAGCACCCCGTCCACGTCCTTGTAGCCCCCCTTTCCCACCGTCTCTCCGGCATAGATCTTGATGACACCATACTCCTTGAACCTCCCGTCCGTCACAATCTTCTCCTCCGCCTTGTCCAAGTTCTCCTCGTCATCCGCCGCGCCGCCCGCAAAAAGGAAAATCGTGTGATCTCGCGCGCTTGTCATCCCCAGCAACCACTTCCCCTTCTCCCCCCTCTCGTCAGTGACCTGCCCGTCCGGCGCTCGCCAGCCGCCCCTAACTGGCCCGTCGAAGCCGACTGCCGTGCCGACAATGGAGCTATTGCGGTACTTGATGGCCATCTGCGAGATGAAGGTATAAAGCGACAGCCGTCGCGCCTTGTTGCTCCAGATCCGGGGCACGATCCACGGCATCAAGCAGTTCCGCACCGTCGTGAAGATTGTGTTTTGCGACGACACCATGGTGAACATACGATCCGTGCCCGTGAGGAGGTGCTGCCCGACAGGGTGACGCTCCTCGTTGTACGTGTCTAAGAAAGCTTCCTCCTTCTCGCCGCGGATCACGGCCGCGAGCTTCCAGCCTAGGTTGATGGCGTCCTGGATGCCGGTGTTCATACCTTGACCGCCTGCAGGGGAATGGATATGTGCTGCGTCGCCGGCCATAAATAGCCGTCCATCGCGATAGTTGTTGACGCCTCGGCAGTTCCACCGGAAGCTCGTGAGCCACAGCGTCTGTTCAATCTCCAACTTCTTCCCCATCATCTCCTCCACAAACTCTTCAATCTCTTCCTTGTCCGGGTCGCCCTCGCGCTTGCTCCTCGACGATCTCTCGCCCACAAAGCGGACCACGCCGTCCTTGAGAGGAAAGACGACCATGACACGGCTGCCGAGGAAGAGAGAGACGCGCTCTGTGTCATAGTCGCCTTTTACTTTTGCGTCGCAGAGCATGAATTGCTGAGGGTACTGGGCGCCTTCAAACGTCACGTCGGCGCTGTGCCGCACGACGCTGTGTGCGCCGTCGCATCCGACAATGTACTTTGCCCGTACGACTTCCTTCGACGTGCCTTTGGTTAAAGTGGTGCTCGCGCGGACGCCGTCTTGCTTGATGTCGTCCGCCGACACACCCCGCTCCACGGTGCCGCCGTAGACCTCCAGCTGCCGCAACATGGCTGCCTCGGTGTCGACCTGGGAGATCCACAGCGGTAGTCCGAAGCGAGTATCATCGAAGCCGAGGTCATCAAAGGTGCCCGTAACGAGGTGGCGCTTGTTGCAGTAGATGTTGACGCCGGGTCCCGCGGTGCCTTCGGCGAGCATGGACTCTGCGATGTGGGGGTGGCGGTGGAGGAGCTCCTGGGAGCGCGGTTGCACGGCTAGGGCGCGAGACTTGTCTGACGGGACGGGGGCCTTGTCGATGATGCGGAAGGGGATGCTCTGCACTGAGAGCTCGAGTGCGAGAGTCAGACCCGTGGGGCCGGCGCCGATGATGAGGACGTCTGTTTCGCTCATTTTCGGTAGTGATGATCTCTTGGTTGACGATGTCAATGGTCTTTTCTCTGATGGTGAATGCATTGGTGTGTTGGTGGTTCTGAGTAGGCAATGGCAGCGGTTGCCGACCGCGACGAGGCGAGGTGGGATGTCACTTTAAATAACATCTTTTGTCCGCGTACTTCTGTTTGGTTTTGTCTTGCGGAGCATTTAGGGGACTCGACATGCTTCAAAGAGGACCAGAGTTTCCATGCCCGACATCAGCTGAACGAACGCGTCGGCACCTCGCCTTCACAAGCTCCGTGCTGCATCATACCCGCGGGCGTCACGTTCCTTGACGGCTTGTCGGGGGAGATATCCGCGGGCGGGAAGTAAGACGGGGGAATACGCAACGTGAACGATGTGCAGGGTTGTCCACACAACGCACGTCAAGGACAGATACGGGAGCCGGGGCCGGATTGGGGCCGGTCGAATGCGGGGCATTTGGGTCGTGACATCCTTCTGGCTGTCGATGGCGTTACTTTGAGCAAGAAAGTGTGTTGCGCCTGGACTTGGCCGTCCTTCCTGGGCCTATTTGGGACGATGAATGCGTTGGCTGGTGTGGTTGGAATTGGCTTGTAGTCGGCGGGCGGAAGTGCCAGCTGGGATCTATGGGTGAGGAGCGTCACGTGAGGGGTCGGAGGTCGGTCGCTTTGACTCCCGATGCTCCGACGTTATGGGTCACCTCACCCTGTCTTGAACGTGTGCCAGACTTTAAGGCAACGACGATCATCCGGAGGCTGCGGCGAAGATTCAACGGAGAGCTTTCCTCATCACTCTCGGGCAAGGCAGGACTTGATCATAATCATAGGCGTGAAGACTCCTCAATTTGGTCTCTGTGAAGCAAAGAGGATCAGTATTCATGCCTTTGAGGGTTTACTTGGGGTGTTTCAAGACGCATTTCTCCAGAGGTTGTTATGTGGCCCTTGTTTGTTGGGGGAAATGCGTCTGATGTTCCTCTCGGCAAAAGTCAAACAAAAGAGACTTCGAATCGTCGAAATAAGGGCCATTCAGAGCCCTTGACCTTAGAGTCTACCACTCACCTCACAGGACGAACAGTTCGGGAGAACATGATCTCGGCTCCGACAGTGATTTAGATGCCCAGCTCAAAGATCTCACTCTGGCGCTTGGGAAAGTCTCCTTCAAACGGCTCAATGCAGACTCAAAGTCGTTGCTGATTGGCCGTTGGCCTGAACTTCATCGACTTCCTAATTCGGTACCTCGGACGACATCTCATTGGTTGACGGCAGTCTTCAGCTCAAAGTCCCCTTCCGAAACCACTTCAATTTCTTTCAAACCGCAAATAATTTGGTAAGGCAGAGAGGGGCAGTAATAGCGGCCTGCTACTCAAAATCTTGGTGCGTGACTTCCCATAGGTAGCTCCGGGCGTTGACAGCATGTCGTCGCTTCCTTGGCTACCCAAGTCGCCCGGGCCTCAAGTGACTGCCAATTGCCAACTTCCGTCCAGATGTCACGCCTTCGCCGACACTTTCCCATCGCATTCTCCTCATCTGCGGACTTTTACCCACCTCCCGACTTCATCGTCGTAACCTTTCAATCTTTCAACTAGCGCATCAATATCCGCGCCGACGTTCGTTATGGATTCTTACTTTGTTTGGGTTCCTGTGGTCCCTCTCCGATTGTACTCAAGCTACAACGACCTTGTGTTCTAGGAAAAGTCTGCGTTCGAAGACATCATTCTCGCCTTGGAAAAATCAAGCCCGCATGTAGATGGAGGTTTTACACTGCAGACCCGGCATGATCTCTGGAGGTTGGTCTTTGCCGAGAGATGGGATTCAACCCGCCAGGATCGAGTACCCCAGCCACCGTCACCGTGGCCTCGAGGCCCCAACTCCCTTCCCGTTGGCAAGGTAGTTATGCCAGATGGGACGGTAAGACGGTTCACGCTTGCATACCCTCTTCGTGGACATCTAAATCTCATGGAGTGCTAACGAAAACTGCACTGAAGACCAGGACCGTTAACCTCTCGGTACGCATGGAGACCGCCACACACTTCAGTCTCCAATACACTTACGGTCAAGATCGCCCCGTCGATATTCTTTCTCCAAATTTCCAGTTCGACAGAGGTTTCGGCTTGAATCATTACACGTTAGCCCGTGCCTTCGTATATCATGACGTACAAGAGATAGATCGGTATTAGAGATACAACGTTCGACTAGCCGTTTTTCATATGCGCTCGCGCCTCTCAAGTTGGACAAAGAATGGCTATACACACTAGTGGTGCGAAAGGCAAAGGGCCCAGACTCTTCAAAGTTTGCAATTGCACCCTTTGCATGAAACCCTTATTCTTGCTGCTATCAGACGCGCTGGATTCGACCATGCCAATGGTCCATTCGTCAGAAAGGTACTGAACGATCACCCTCAGCAGAAAGTGCTCTTACGCGCATGGTCCCTGTCGTCGTTGGGTTTGGACTTGCCTTGGGGTTAGATCAGGCGGAGTGAGCGGCATGATTACATCTAGATATTGGTCAAGACGTGCCGAGATAAAGAGTTGCAGCGTTTGAAGCTTTGTGGGAGATTTACGGATTGTCTGGTCAGGGATGGTGTTCACAAGCGCCTTTGATAACAAGTAGCTATGCCTAGCGTCTGATATCTCATATTAAGCATGTTTCTTCCATCCGCGTGTCATTTGGGAGTGGGCTACTTATATCCGCCATCAGACACTCTCGATGTTGCAACAAGGGGGTTTGAAGAAGCACGATGAACATGCTGGTTACCCTTCATGTTGTCGCCCGCATGCTCCGACTTCTGACCACTTCACGCAGCGACATGCAAGTCGCAGCCAACGGCATCAAGAGGCTCCTTCATCATCTCTTCGAATCGGCGAAGCTTCCTGTAGATCACGCGCCCAATAATTCCAAGCCAAGAGGGCATGCATCGTGGCCTTGGCGAGAACCGGAAGCATATGCTCCTGGTAGATGAGATACTGGTTAGAGCCGCTACTTTTCTGCACCAAGTCTATGGAGAATCTGGCCCCCGAGGGCTGGTATTGGATGGTTAGTAAGCCTTTCGCCGGCCGTCAACCTTTTGAGCAGGGTAATTATGGACGTACTTTCTTGGCTCGATTGAAGTGGTGAAATAGCATTACGATATTCGCGTTCGTGTCGTCCCACACTTTGGACTGCGTTGGAACAGTCGTCAACAATACTGCTTGACACTCTAGGGATGGTTGTAACTCATGGACTGCAAGAAGACTTACACCTTCGGTCCTGTACTTTACGGGAGTCCCGGCCTCTTCTTGCCACTCCGTGTACTCTGGCGATCCGACCCAGCTTCGTCGAAATTTGAGACCGATTTTAACGGCGTCAATTGTCTTTTTGTCTTGGCGAGTGGCAACAACGTCCGCGAGCGAGTGGAAGGTTGCTATTTTCCTTGGTATTCAGAGACTAAGGATCTATTCATGTCTGAATCCGCCTCTGTGAGACTGAGATTCATGTCTTGGAGTACTTACCGATCGCCCCTCCAGCCGGGTAGTGCCGCATCTCGATCTCAAACTGCGGATCACCTCTCGCGATAACCGCAGCATATCTACAAAAGCCCTTACCGGACTCGCTTCTTGTAAAAACGATGGCCTCGCTTGAGCCGTAAGGGATTAGTGGGAAATAGATGAGAACCAAGGCGTCGTCTAAATTCAGGGGGTATTTTTCCGCCACTGCGAATATGTACTTTTTGCCGCGTCGCGAGAAGAGTCCTGTGTTTGTGTCGGCTTCTTTGAGGCGGAATATGCCTCTGTTTGGTTCTTAGTAGTGGCTTTTCTGAAGGGACTTGTAGTCGAGTGGGGTGGGAATGGACTTACAGGCGACTCGGGATCGGAGGGTGGCCCATGGTCAGTCAAGAATTCTTCCTTAGTTAGTTGAAGCAGTCGAATTGATATTCTCATTATCGAATGTCTTTTAAAGCCTATAATGCTGTTGCAAGGTCGTCTTGGTTTGTATCTCTTGCTCTCATGTCGTGCGAAAGAGCGCTAGTGTGCGGCTGATGCGAGCCAGCTGAGTTGTGCTGCCTTAAAGAGTGCCTTGCCAAGACGCTATTTCGCCGTTGTGCGTCTCTTCTCAGCCAGTCATTTAAGCATGCGCTCCCTTTAACTAGATCGAAACATTCTTCACTAGAATACTTAGTCAGGCGTACCGTAACTTATAGTCAAAGCCGTTGATGTCTGAACATTCCGAGCATCGTTGCATAATATTGCTGAGGTCCAGCTTCTGCTCGCAATGTCTAGCGTAAGCAATTGCTGCCTTCGCAATATTCCCATTCGAGTATCGTTTCTCCCTGTTGATTGACAGCAATGATTATTCTGAGTGATTTTCAAAGCCATTGTCAGCCAGATGATGATTAGCTTAAGGCACATTGACCTCTCTTCGGTCAATTAAAATGAGTTTCTAATCATTCATCGTGGAGGGATAGCCCGTGTCTTCAATCGGGTCTGCGTAACTGTGTCATAGAGGGTAACAAAGAATGTTTGCTCGAACAACGGTAAGGTCATTCATTCTCTTGCATAGCGTCCCTCAATCTGCTCTAGCCATGTCAGTTTGTCTTGTTTGCTCCTTCTTGTATTATCTTAGCAAGTGTGGAAAATCCCAGTCTATATCCGAGCCGAGGCTACGGTACTCTCGCTAATTGGCCGGGGCTGGAGTCCCAACTTGGAAGCTGGAACTTCCAACCAACAGACCACGCTTGAACAGTTGTTATCTTCTCAACCAACAGGAATGTGACTTAAAAAGCGGAGAAACTGTATAAAATCAGGGGCTCTTTCGAGAAGGAGGGGTAAAATATGATGATCTTTCCCAGAACAACATCACGCCCACATCCGCTCATCCCATAAACCATACCAGCAGCTCCCGACTTCAAGATTAAATTTTTGCGGAGTCAATCAGTCATCAAATTCAACATGCAACATGAAGATCAGCCGCCTATTGAGGCAGAAGACTCTGGAATCGACGATGCCTCCTCTGTTGGCGGTGCCTCAACAGCAGATGAATCGAGCGCATCGCTGAGATCAAGCATTCTGGATTACCGCCGCGAGAATGGACGGACGTACCATCGCATGAGCGATGGGAAGTACGTCTTCCCAAATGACGAGCGCGAGCAAGACCGTCTGGACATCGTCAATCACATCTGGATGCTGGCGCTCGACAACGCCTTCTGCCTGTGCCCCAAGAACGACGGTACCAAAGCCAAGAGAGTCCTCGACATTGGGACCGGTACGGGGACCTGGGCCCTCGACTACGCCGAAACTTTCCCGGAGGCTACTGTCCTCGGCGTCGACCTCAGCCCTATCCAGCCGGGATTCGTCCCCCCCAATTGCAGCTTTGAGGTGGACGACTTAGAAAAGGAGTGGACCTGGACCAACCCCTTTGACTTTATCCTCTGCCGAAACATGAATGCGAGTTTTTCGGACTGGAACAACATCATCAAACAGGCATACGACAACCTCGAGCCCGGCGGCTACTTTGAGATTCAGGATAGTCACTGGCCCCCCGTCGCTGATGACGACACGATGAAAGGCACCGCAATGGACAAATGGGGCGATCTTTTAGTCGAAGCCTGCACCAAGATTGGGCGCCCTGTTGACAAGGAGACGGTTCAGTTGGTGGGCAAGATGGAGGAGACAGGGTTCGAGGAGGTGAGGAGGGTTCCTTTCAAGTTCCCGTCCACCGGGTGGCCCAAGGACAAGAAGTTGAAGGAGCTTGGTGACTGGAACCGCGTGATGCTCTCAAGCGGTTTGGAGGGTCTGACGCTAGCACTGCTTACCCGTTACATGGATTGGTCCAAGGAAGAGGCATTGATGCTCTGCGCTCAAGTGAGAAAGGAATTGGCAGACACGCGTATACATGCGTACTGGAATGGATATATCATCTTTGGGCGGAAGCCCTTGAAGGCGGGCGAGGAGGAAAAATTCTAATTGAAGCGCCAGAAAGAATGACGGTAATGCCGTGGAAGATCGGGTGTAGCTTGATTGAAGGAAGTAATGAGAAAGAGTATTTTCAAATATGGCGAAGTAGAGCCTGACATGTGACTCGGATGATGATTTCGAAGCTAATTTTCCTATTGAGAAATTGAGAAGCACTGCAAGTTCATCGTCCATCAATCGATTTAGTTCCCTGCTGGCCATGTTGAAGACCACGGCCGACTACAACTTTGGACAGACAAAGGGAGGCGCCAACGTTGGTGTCAGTAGCGTCTGGTTCTCTTTCAATGCTGGCGCAAGCCACTCTTCAGAGTCCAGCACCCTCCAGCTTGGCTCCGAACCTTCCCAAGTCCAGGTTCCCATCACCCACAACGACCTGCAAGCCATCACTATCACCGCCGGCGTATGGTATGTAATGTTGCGTTCGACTCTAGAACCTAGCTGACATTACTTTCCCAGAAAGGAACGTTAATGTGAGCAAGGACAAGTTCCGCTCCGATTCCCCCAAGGAAGTGAAGAGTCTCGCCAGAGTGAGCCAGATCATCGTGATCGCCGGCCTAGGCTACGAGATCAAAGTCGGCGCCTTGACCGCCGAGACCCTCGACACCAAGCTCAAGCAGACCACGAGCGCTGGAGGCAGCATCAGCGTCTCTGGCATCCCCATCGGCCTGGCAGAGGTTTTCCATGTCGCAGGTTACATAAATCAACACAAATCGACATCTTTACATCTTCAACCTTCGCTGGACTATAGCTGCTGGAGTTCGAAATGGATACTACATCTGCGAACATCTCCCAAATTATAAGATTCCAGCTCTGTGCCAGTTTGCCAGGTGTTACGTATATAGCGGAAAAACAAAAATCGGAAAGGGAGACGGGACAACCCAACTTGAACTCACGACCCTTCAACCACAAACACATGATCTCAGCAACCAAGTACATCTACATATACGAATACACAACAGGTATTCGACAAACATCGACAGCCCACCAAAAACCACCGCAATGGGAAATGCATAAAAGAACAAGCTATCCATGGCATTATGTAGGACCGTGAGCCAACATACATCTTCGCTCCTGGAAGCTAGAATTGTACCGCTCGGCCATCGACGACAACGGAAGCTGCCTGTTGATAACCACTTCACTTTGCCTTTCTACGAGGGTTCGACATAAACTCAATTGCAAACTTCGATTGGCAATGTATCTGCATTCCACTACACTAGCATATTTAACAACCCCAACGCAGCAACGAATCCATACCACCCACCTATCCAACCTCACATCCCAGCAGCGAGAGTATACCCCCCATCAACAGCAACAGTCTGCCCATTCAAATACTGATTACACGCAAAAAACAGCACCGTCGACGCCATATCCTCATCCCGTCCAGGCCGTCCCGCAATCACCTTATCCGCATACTTCTCCTTCGGGATCTCGCTCTTCTGCTCCCCGTCCGCCGACTCCTTTGTCGTCATCTCGCTAGGGAAAACCCCAGGCGCGATGCTATTCACCCGAATCTTCAGCCCGTTGGACGCAATCTCCTCGGCGAGCATGCGGTTCACGTGGATCGTCGCCGCCTTGGATGCGTTATACGAGAAGTGGTGCTGCGACTTTTTAATCATGCCGCTGATGCTGCTGATGTTGATCACCGTGCCGGACCACCCGTGCTGGGCGTCGGTGGACTTTTGTAGCAAGGGCAGGAAGCTTGTCGCGACGTAGAAGACGGCCGCGACGTTTGTGCGGTAGGTTTCCGTCCAGTCTTCGAAATCGGCGGAAGCAGCATCAAAAAGGCTGGCTTTCATGTCCTGCGCGGAATCGCTCTCGACTTCGAATGCCGTGCTTGAAACGCCGGCGTTGTTGACGAGGATGTCGAGGCGGGATTCTTTCGATTCGATCTCCTTGTAGAGTTTGTCAATGTCGGATTTCTTGGTCACGTCTGCGACGATGGGGATGATGGAGCCGGGGACGTTTTGGCCGTAGGTTTGGACGGTGTTGTCGAGTTTGGATTGGTTGCGGGAGGTGATGTAGACTTTTGCGCCGTTGGAGGCGAGGGTTTGGGTTGCCATTAGGCCTATGCCTGTGCCGCCGCCTGGAGGGGGTTAGATCACTATCTCGGAAGATGAGGGTAAAATTGTATCGTACCGGTGACGAGGGCGACTTTGCCGGTGAGGTCAAAGAGGTGGTTGCGGGTGAAGAGCTTGTTGCCCTCAGGGCCGGATGTCTTTTGGCCGGTGGACATTTTGGGGTGTTGATTGGGGTGTTTGTGGGATACAGTATGAGTCGTGGGTGTGATGGCGAGAGAAGAGATTGTTGTGCGTGCTCGTGTTGTGAGGGTGCTGGAAAACCTCAATCTGGTCGTGTTGGTGTGGAGGGTATTGGAGGATACGAGAAGAGGTGAGGTTGAGGGAAGAAGGCGGGAGCTATATAAACCTCGCACCGAAGTAACGACTGGATGGTAAAACACACTGGATGATCTCATAGCTATCTAACAAATCGAAACTACTCACAAAAGGCGCCAATTGAAGCGTGAGAGACACAAGAGCACCAGTCCTTAAACGCAATGCAATGCACGAGCGGGAGCAACTGCAGCAAGCCCCAAGCGGTGGCTCCTAAGGGAAGCTGTCCCGTCATCGAGATTCTACGGTCGGAAGAACACACGCAAAGAAGCGCCTCATGTGCGGTACGTATTACATTCAGTGTCCGCCATGAGGACGGTATACAGGCGGCATGAGGTCAGTGAAGCCTCCATGACGACACCCACATGCAGTCAATCCCTGGGCCCGCGGAGGGAAAGATCCGGGCGGCGAGAGCTCCGGGGCGCGGGGGGACTGGAGCTATGGTGGGGCACACACAATGCATGAGGTAAGCCGACTTTTGCCCCGCCAGTTTGGCATAGTAGACCCAACATAGGTAGCTCACTTCACCGAGCACACCTTAGCTTACCTTTCCTCACCTTTCTCACCTTGCCCTACCTTATTGTGAGCTTCCTCAACTCAATCAAAGCATCACCAACAAAGAGCCACCTGGCCAATGACACACAAGTACCTTAACCGTCCATGTGCATAGGAACAAGCCATCCTGGGGTATTTATTCATACAACAACTAATACAATCCATCCCTCATCCGTCTCCCAACCTACCCTCACCTAACAGTGATATGCTGAATCGCACTCTTCCACTTCTGCTCATCGCTCCTGCAAAAACCCACGTTAGCAAACCCACTCATCATGTCCACATCAAACAAGTCAAAACTTACTTGTCAAACTTAAGAATCCTCCCCAAGACAGGCACAAGCTGCTCCCGCAACTTATTATCCTTCTGCTCCAAAAACTGCAACATAATCGTCTTCAGATACAACGTATCCGCAGACCCCCCACCTCCCCCTGCCCCTCCAGCAGCAGGCCCACCATTCAGCCCAGACCGATTCGAGTCCATCGAACTCCGTCCACTCGTAACGCTCGCCCCAAGCTTGGTCTGCACCGTCTTGAGCTCCTTATTCACCTTGTCGAACCGTTGCTTCGACTCCTCAAGCAACCTTCTCAAATCAGACTTTTGCCTCTCCGCGTCCCGAACCTGCTGCTCCGACGCATCCAGCGTCGTCCGCAGATCCGAAACAGCAGACCGCATCTCCTGGACCTCCGCCTCAGCCTTCTCCTCGACAGACTCGAGCTCCTCCCGCCGTTTCCTCCACTCCCTCTCCCGGCCCTCCAACTCATCCTTCTCCGTCGAAAATGTCTTGATATCCCGCTCCAGGTCGCGAATCTTCTGCTTCAGCTCCTCCGTCTCCCTCGTCTTGCGGCGCGCAAGCGTGCTCGACTCGTCCTCCATCCGGTCCCGCTCTTCAATCGCAGTCTCCATTCGCGCACGCATCTCCCGCACTTTACTATCGGCGCGCTCGTCCACGTCAGCAAGGAGCCCACGCATCCGCTCCGCCTCGCGCGACCTCTCGGAAAGGTGCTTCTGGATCTCGGCCAGCTCCTCCTCGAGGGACTCGGACTGCGACCGCGCCTCCTTGAGCTGAATCGTCAGCTCGCCCGTCTGGTCGCGCATGCTGCCCAGCAGACCCTGCGCGTTGGAGTACTGCTGCGTCTTGAGGTCCGCTTCCTCCTGAAGAGACTTCTTCTCCCTTTCGAGCTTCTCAATCTGCTCTTCGAGCTCCTTGACCTTGGGCCGGAGTTTGTTGGCGTCTTCCTGCACGCGCTGAAGCTCCCGGGCCGTCTTCTCTTCCTTGGCGGCAAGCTCGACCTTCTCGGCCTCGGAGCGGCGCAAGTCGCGCGCAGATACCCGCTGGGCATCCTCAAGCCGAAGCTTGTTGTTCGTCTCGGCCTCGACCTTGCCGCGGAGCGCCTTGATCTCCGTCTCGCGGTCCGACGCCAGACGCTGAGCCCTTGTCACTTCAGCCTTGAGATCTTTCTCCTTCTTCTCAAGGTTACGCAGCTCCGCGTTCTTCGCAGAGAGCTCCTCCTTGGTCGTCTTGAGAGCAGCAGAGTCCTGACGCAAACTCTTCATCTCAGGCTGCGCCTTTTGCAGCACCTCTCGCAAGTCGGTGAGATCCTTGTACCTGCTCTGCGCCAGCTGTTGCGCGGCGCCGAGGTCAGACTGTAACGTCGATGATTTGCTCTTGAGATCCTCGTACTCGCGCTGGAGGTTGTCAAACTCGCTCTGGAGCTTCTCAGTCGCCTTGGCGTCGTTTGCCGAGGACCCGAGCTCCTTCTCAAGCTCCTCGATCCGCGTCTGCAGGGCCTTCTTCTCGGCCTCGAGGTTCTTGATCTTCTCCTTGGCCACAACGTGCTCCTGGCCAATTTCAGTGACCTCGTCACGCAGCGTCTCGATTTCCTCGCGGAGATCCTCCTCCGTCTTGCGCTGCTTCGTCAGCCTCTCAATCTGGGAGTCCTTGGTGGTGACTTCCTCCTTGAGGCGGGTAATCTCCGCTTCCAGAGCGTCCGTGTCAACATCCTTGGCCTCTTCAGCCGCGGGCGGTGTCGCGGTTCCCACGGTCGTGGCGGGTGTGGCGGGTGTGGCCGGGGTTGCAGCAGCGGGAGCAGCAGCAGCACCACCACCCTTGCCCTTCTTCTTCTTGTTCTTCTTGGCATTCTTTGAAGTACCAGCAGTACCTCCAGCCGCGGGCGTCTCGTTCGGTCCAGATGTTGTGGGAGTAGCGGGCGTAGATTCGCTCGTCTGCTTCTCAAGCTGCTTACTAAGGTCATCAATCTTCTTCTCGTTATCGGCCTTTTCCTTCTTCAAGGTCTCAATTTGGCCGTTGAGAGTCTTGATATTCTTCTCAACGTCCGTCTTGGCCGCCTCCACCTCCTTGACGCGAGCTTCCTCCTTATCTGCGCGTGCGTTGGACTGCGTAAGCTTCGACTGCGCCTCCTTTGCGTTCTTCTTGGCAGACTCGACTTCGCCCTTGAGCTTGGCCTCGACCTCCTTCAGTTGCTTCTGCGAGGCTTCCAGACGCTCGGTGAGAGACTTGATCTCGCTGTTCCTCGCCTCGAGCTGCGTCTCCAGAGAAGTCTTGACGGCAGCCACGTCGCGCAGCTCACCAGCCTCCTTGGTCACCTTGTCGAGGTTCTCGGTAAGGTCGGCGCTGGATTCCTTGGCGGCGGCGAGTTCGGCCTTGAGCGAGTCGACCTCAGTCTTGAGCTCCGCCTTGACGGTCTCGACTTGCGTCTTGAGCTTCTCAATTTCCTCGTCCTTGGCCGCCATGTCAGATTCGTACTTGGGCGCCTCCTCGTCGTAGGAGAAGAAGTCGCCCGCAGCCTCGTCCGTCTTCTCCGCGCCAGGCTCTTGCGCCTTTTGCTTGGGCG